ACACAGGATAAGCTCCGCTCCAGAACATATTCCCAGAATCAATTCATTTTTGATCGAAAAAGATTGAAAATATCATTATACATGGATAAAGAGTTTAAGCAGACTATTATATGATCAAACAACCCATAAGGAAAAGAAATATTTCTGCGAAAGATGCCTACATGGGTACAGCAGACAAGATCTATTAGAAGCGCATAAAGAAGACTGCAGAGGTGTTGGACAGAATGCTATCAGGATCGATATGCCTAAAGAGGGGAAAAATATATTAAAATTTGAACATTATTGTAATCAAATGCCAGTACCGTATGTAATTTACGCCGACTTCGAAGCGCTTATCAAACCTATAGAAAATACTGAACGCAATACTGAATGTAGTTTTACGTACAAAACTCAAGAACATATTCCTTGTGGGTTTGGATATATAGTTGTAAGGTATGATGGGAAAACAAACCCGCCCCCGTGATTTACAGAGGTCCCGATGCAGCGGGAAAGTTCCTAGAATATCTACAAAATGAAGACAGAATAATCAGGGAAAATTTATTGCGTAAGAAACCATTGTGTATGACGAGGGATGATTGGAGGGCCTATAAGAAGTCAACGAGTTGTCATGTTTGTAATAAACCCCTGAATGGGGATTCCGTAAGAGATCATTGCCATGTCACGGGGAATTATCGGGGAGCCGCGCACGAGTGTAACTTGAAACTAAAAATGAATTCTCAAACAATACCCATCCCCGTTGTGTTTCATAACCTTAGAGGATACGATTCTCATCTCACTATGCAAGCTATCTCAAAGACCGATGGTGGCTTAACGTGTATTCCTAATAATATGGAAAAATACATATCGCTCTAGTTGACTAAAACTATACATTATACGGACAAGGATGGGAAAGCCAGAATAAAGCAAAGTAATGGGCTTAGATTCATAGACTCTGTACAGTTTCTGTTATCTTCCCTGGACAAATTAGCTAAAGCGAACAATCCCGATGACTTTGCGATAACAAATCAATATACCGATCGGTGCCGTCATTTGTTGCTGAGAACAGGTGTATATCCTTACGAATATATGGATGATTGGTCTAGATTCTACGAAACTAAATTACCACCCCTTGAATCATTCTATAGTAACTTAACAGAATCTAAAATAACAGATGCAGATTATGAACATGCTCTGACAGTGTGGGATAAATTAGGTTGTAAGAATTTAGGTGATTATCACGATCTGTACTTAAAAACCGATGTACTGTTACTCGCCAATATATTCGAGATATTTAGAAAGCCATTTTTAAAACAATACGGCTTGGACCCGGCATGGTACTATTCCAGTCCCGGACTATCGTGGGATGCATTGTTGAAGATGACCGGCGTAGAACTAAAACTACTCACCGATTACGATATGCACTTGTTTATTGAGAAAGGATTAAGAGGTGGTAAATCGATGGTAGCGAAAAGGTATTCTAAGGCTAATAATAAATTAGTGGAAGGATATGATCCGAGTAAACCCGACACGCACATATTATATCTTGACGCCAACAATTTGTACGGATGGGCTATGAGTCAACATTTACCCACGGGTGGTTTTGAGTGGGTCGATGATATCGAAGTGAATGATGCGAATAAAGGGTACATACTAGAAGTTGACTTGGAATATCCAAATTCGTTACATAAAGACCATAACAGTTATCCACTAGCTCCCGAAAGATTAATGGTGAATAAAGATTGGATGTCGGAATATCAACACTCCTTGATGGGTAATACAAGGTTAGCTAACATAGAAAAACTCGTACCAAATTTGATGGATAAGACAAAATATATAGTTCACTACAGAAATCTCCAGTTATGAAACTAAAGAAAATACACAGAGTTCTAAAGTTTGATCAAAGCCCTTGGATGGAGCCCTATATAAGGTTGAACACAGATTAAAGAAAGAAAGCTACCAGCGATTTCGAAAAGAATCTATATAAGCTCATGAATAACTCAGTATTTGGTAAAACTATGGAGAATCTAAGGAAACTTATAGCCAGTCCGGCTTTTAACAGAAGCAAGATATTTGATAACGACTTAGCGGCGTTGCATATGCAGAAGAGTAATATAAAATTCAACAGACCAGTGTACGTCGGTATGCGCATTCTCGACTTGTCAAAACACTTAATGTATGACTTTTATTACAACGAACTTAACAAGCAATTCGGTGATAGATGCGAGGTGTTATATACCGACACAGATTCTTTGTTGATGGAAATACAAACCGAGGATGTGTATAAAGATATGACAGAAAAAATAGATACGAGGGGTGTTCATTAAAGATTTCCCCTGACCCACTTCCGATGGACCTAGTGCAATGAAACTTGGCATAGGTATTAGTCTTTCTCCACATAGAAACCACCAAGAGTTACACACTTCTCTCATCGTTTAATGCAACTATGGATACCTCGCTTGTAAAAGCCCTCATTTTGCATCTCAAACCAGGACTTGACTTCAGAAATCAGTGTTTCATCATCTGTGAAACGTTTTCCCTTCAAAAATGACTTCATGGTTAGAAAGAGGTGGAAGTCAGATGGTGCAAGGTCAGGAGAGTAAGGAGGATGTGGAAGGATTTCATAGCCACAGGACTGCGCTTCTGTCTGGGCAACATTAGAGTTGTGTACTGGAGCATTATCTTGCAGGAGACGGACGCCCTTGGTCAGCATGCCACGCCTCTTAAGCTTGATAGCGTACTGCAATTTCTGCAGCAGTGAAGCATAATAAGCTCCTGTAATTGTGGTACCCTTTGCCAAGAAATCCATCATCACTACTCCGTGCTGGTCCCAAAACACCGTGAGCATGATCTTGCCTGCAGAGGGTTGGACACGTGCCTTCTTTGGGGGTGGTGACTCAACATGCTTCCATTTCATCGACTGAACTTTAGTCTCAGGATCATAGTGATGGAGCCATGTTTCATCCCGTGTGATAAGTCTGTCAAAAAAGTTTGCCTGGTTTTTTTTGGCACATGTCCAAAAGATCCTTTGAGCAATTGACTCGTTCCTGCTTTTGGAAAGGTGTGAGCAACCTGGGAATCCATTATGCATGTTCAAATTGTCATGGATGATTTTTTCCACAGACCCTACACTGATCTTGACACCTTGTGCTAACTGGCGAACAGTTATACGTCGGTCTGCCAAAATGGCGGTCTCCACTTGATGGATAGTGTGTCCTCATCAATTGCTGAATGGGGGCAACCAGGAATGGCAGCTGTTTCCACAGATGTCCGGCCACACTTGAACTGGCGATGCCAGTGTTTAACAACGTCATATGATGGGGCATCTTCCCCATAAGTTGCTTTCATTTCATCGAAAGTTTCTTTTGGTGTGCAACCTTTCAAATATAAAAACCTAATCACTGCTCGGTATTCTACTGGCTCCATTGTCACACCCTACTTGATCATAACACCTGTAAAAGTGGTAAGATTAATAGTTCGGTGCTGCAAATTCAGACATAACCCATAGATACATGTATCATTACACATGTGAAATTTCAACCAAATATGATAACCCTAAGTGGTTTAGGGGAAATCTTTAATGAACACTCGTATGTACGACACGAGCGATTACCCTAAAGATAATCCACTGCACAGCTTAGTAAATAAAAAGGTGTAAGGTAAGATGAAGGATGAATGTGCTGGGACCCCTATAGCGGAGTATGTCGGATTAAGACCTAAGATGTATTCTATAAAGAAGTCCGATAATGGAGAGATAAGAAAAGCTAAGGGTGTTAAGAAGTATGTGGTAAAAAAGCATATCAAACACGAACAGTATAAAGAAGCATTATTCAATGGTAGAACGTTCAAACATGAGATAAACTCTTTAAGAAGTTACAATCATAGGATATATGGATTAAGAATGAACAAGACATCATTACCCCCCTTAGATACAAAGATATGGATTGATAAGGATGGTGTAACTACCTGTGCTTATGGTTATGGTGGTAATACTGTATCGTCAGGAACTATTAGCAACTCTTCTCGTACAAATGCCCTACCCGGTCCATCTTGAAGATAATAAAGAATAGGCTCTCCTTCTTTCATAACCAATCGACTAATGTTATATGTCTTAAGGGACCAAATCGGATCGGTTTTTGTTCTTTGCCTCTCCTCGGTGCTGAAGATTCGGGGATCACGGATTTCATTTTAATCGCATCGGATGGTTTCTTCCCGTTTAATCTCGTTACTTCATTATTCAGCTCTGATACAACAGCTGATAATCGTGTCACCCATTCGGTTGATCTCAATCGTTCCGATTTCATTTCAATCCCATACTGATAGCCAAACAAACGTTCCGCTTATGTCCGGTTAAATCTTTCGACGATGGCTTGACTACGGTGGGCCTCTTTTTCACCACGCCTGATTTCGACATCGTGCTTTGTTAACAGTTTAGTTATTGATCCCATAAACTCACGACCAGGATCTACTTGAAATAGCTTAGGCAAAGGCTGCTCATCAACAATGTGGGTTCAAAAAGCTTCCTCACCCTCCGTACTCTCCAGACCTGGCACCAAGTGATTTCCACCTGTTTCCTAAACTGAAAGAACACCTTCATGGAAAGTGCTATGACGACAATGACGACCTCAAAGCTGCCTTGAAAGGGTTTTTGTCTGGGTGACTTCCGAAAACTTTTTAATGACTGGAATTGAAAAGCTTCACTATCGATTTGAGAAGTGTACTGAAAAGCAGGGAGATTGTTATGATAAATAAGTTAAAAACACTTTCACAATTGTTGGTTTTGTTTGTTATGCTCAGAACTTTTTGACCAGCCCTCGTACATGACAGTAACCAGCACAGTAAGATACATGGACATGGACACACAGACACAGACAGACAGACAGACAGACAGACAGACAGACACACACAAAAAAACCAAACCCAAACCAACAACAACTATACTTTGTATATATTTTTGGACTCAATGACCCTGGCATCACTGATTCGAATCCACACAGTATGCTTCTTGGGTATACTTAACCTACCTTCTGAGACTTCTCCAAGAAAGTCTTCTGTCTATCTCCAAGACTGTATATCTCTGCGGCTTCATTCCTAAACTTGCCACGCTTCTGCTCCAGGCGATGTTTAACCTGGTCCAACAGTTTTAAGTTGTCTTTTATTTGAACAATACAGTCATCAGGGTTCATTATAACTGCTCCTGTAGAATGTGGTAAAATGACACAATGAATGGTATGTTTGAGGCAACTAAACATGTTATGTTAACAGTTTGAATGTGTTGATAGTATAAGGGTGATGATGACTCTTTAATGTTTGATATCATACTAAATCACTGGAAGTTGATATGTAAATGTCTTTTGAAAACAAAACTTAAGAAATTGAATAAATGATGTTAAGATTCATCTTAACTTTTTGCTTGGTGTGTAATATTGGAAATGTTATGAGCAATAAAGTCTAGAGTTACCACACTATGGCTATTACATTTGAAACAAGCATGAAATCTCCCACCAATATGACATGTCTGGTTGTGTGCAAGGCAAGAAATATTATACGGTTTTCAAGATCTGCTCCAGAAAGGAGCACTAAGACCATTTTCAGTCTAAGTCAAAGTCGTTACCATGGAAATATCATGGGCATAAAATATGAACATGAGTTTTATTATAATACTTTATGTATTAATGTATATTTAATAAATAACTACTCCAACAGTTGCTTCAGTTTTAAACATTACATTATTACAAAACTCATGTTCATATCATATTTAAAGCCCAGGATAGAAACTCGAAAACTAATCTTTAAAAAATCCCAAACTATCAAAAGGCACCAGTTCACCACTAGACCTATCTATGTGCCAAGTGTGGTTCAGACATCGCTCTTGGTTTTAGAGTTCTGCTCTGGAAATGAAACGTGACTGACGGATGAAATGAAGGACAAATGGAAGGAAGGATGGAGGGATGGACGGACTGCTCCCATTCTATATCCCCCTTCCACTTTGTGGTTGGGGATAATAAAGTGAGAAAAGATACTTTACTATTTCCGCTCACCATTGTATGTTGTGTAAACATATTAAGAACAAAGTCAAGGACAAAAATATGGATCATTATTCTTAATGATAATGATGTTACCGAACATTCAACATTCAAGCATTCATGTCTGATATTGGCTTATACAGCTATTCATTTTTGTTACTTGTGAAAACACAATCATCACACCTGGAGACAAACAAAGCCAAATTTGTTCAGGAAACAGTGCATAATGTCAAGTTGGATCAATTTGTTTTGTTATTCATATATCCAATATATTTCATGCGTTCTTGTTGTTGAAGAGTCAATTTGAATTACACAGTGTTACAAAATGAAATTTCAATATTTGAACCTAAAGCAGATTTTTTGTATGAAACAGACTCTCTCGTGCACATAATTTTGTCAAGTATTTCATCATCATATAAACAATGACTGTATAATTTCCTTGTGACAGCTTTATGATTGTCTTAGGGCTATTGGGATGGTAAATTTTGATGTCTCACTGGCAATGTTTAGTCCATATAGTGCCAACAGCAAGTCATGAATTAACAATAATGCTCCAAGTAAATCACCATCTGTTCTTGTCTCTCTTGTTCCTCCACCATTTTCTTCTTCAGGTTCTCCTGCTGCCGAACCAGCTGGCGTGTCACAGCCTGCTTGTCATCCTCGCTGACCTCCACTCCCACTGTAGATTTCTCACGCTTCAAGCTTCCTGATCGCACCTACTCAATAAAAATGGATAAAATATTTCAGCATTCATAAGAAAGACAATGACAAGTATATATATTACAAGAAAATAGAAGACAGAATCTGTAAAGTCAAAAATTGGTATAGTGTTACTTTGATTACAGGACATTTATATTAATATATTATATTAATTTTTTCTGCATCCATTCTACATTTGTAGACACACATTTCTGGTTCCCATTTGACATTTCTTTGTAGAATGATCAAATGTGTGCATTGATTGATGTTTATAGTATTAAACACACGCTGAATTGATACTTTACCAATCTAGAAATAATTTCACACATGCATATAGTCTGATATCAAACTCCGATATACAATGGGCATGAACGATAATTATGTTTACATATGCGTACATTCAAAATATCATAAATGACAACCTTTTCAGTATGTTCTTCCCGTTCTCCAGTTACCCATGCAAGTTGGAGGGACTTTACCCATGCAATTTCAGCAACTTTACCCATGCAAATTCGAGCGACTTTTACCCATAAAAGATCGAGCCAATGTGACCAAGGTTTTTACCTACCCAGCATACCTACCCTTCCAACTCTGCTAACCTATCATTACCATCAAATAGACATGTAGATCATCCTATTGTTACCCTACTCAACTGTGTCATCATGCCCAGCCCCCCTCTACTCTCACTGTTCTTGATTATTTCTCCCTGTTAATACCATTGGCTATCTCCTTATATGTCACACTGATCTAGCTTGTGAGGAAGTGAGTGAGTGAGTATGGTTTAACGTCACTTTAAGCAATATTCTAGCAATATCATGGTGGGAAACACCAGAAATGCACTTCACACATTGTATATGTCGGGAATCAAACCAAGGTCTTCGGTATGACGAGCGAACGCTTTAACCACTAGGCTACCCGACCGCCCCGATCTAGCTTGTGTAAACATATCAGCATGTATATATGTTAACACTATATGCATACTCAGAATTCACCTGTTACAAACAATAAAGAAGTGATTATCAATGAAATGTCTATCTATATGTGGCCTATTTTGAGCTCCCTCAAAAGCTAATATGTATGCAGCTCTAAGGGTGACATGTGCCAAATGTTATTGTCAATTTTAAAACCTTAGCCATCACATTTATAATATCACAAATTTTTTGATACACAAATTGGTTAAATTTGTCAAATGTCAACATAATTTTTTACAGCAAAATTCCTGTTTTGTTTATTGCTACAGTAGCAAGATACAAGATTGATCAGTTGCAGGATCTTGATGCTAGCTCTTCACATGTAATTAAACAGTGGGCTAAAGATGTATCAATACTGTATCGTGTTCTAAATTTTACCTAAAATGATTTGTCATCCACCTTGGGAATTTGATCAAAGTATGGACATAAATACAATAAAGGCATTATTCACTCAATTTTTCAAAAGATTTAGCATCAATTTAATTTGTAAATGTACTGGCTTGTGAATTAAAATTTAACGTCACATCAGCATTATTATAGTCATATAGTCAAGAAGAATATCAGAGTACCAATCTCAACTAATAACAGATATATTTAAACTAAAATCTCCTGAAAATGAGTCAGAAAGACCACTTTGGGCTACCAGAATCAAAAGTGTGGCTTTTGTATGCTGGACTTACAAGAGATGGCATAATAGCTGGGTCTTGTTTGACCTCTTCATCCACTGCAGTCAGCCGTTGGCGACTTTGTCGTCTGGCAGCCAACTTTTCCTGCAGCTAAAACATTGAACATTTATATATTTGATCTGTTACTCAGATACACAGCAAAGTACATAATCAACTCCTGGCAAAATCTTATGTTAAGTCTTTCAAAATGACTAGTCAGAGCTTTAATATTTGTCCAATATTTGTCTCTACCTCTGAAGGAAAGACTTCACCACTGACCTCATCGCCGCCCTGAAGGCAATGAACCTGCCACAAGGATGAATAGGAGAGGGGACATGGGTGGTTCACCCAAATTATGTTCCTAGGTTTGTCAGCACCATACCCATGCTCTAGGGTTTCACCAAAGTGGTAAATGTCCTAGACCTGCATTAGTTCTGGCTTTCCTCCCATATTAATGTCACATGCTGTTATATAACTGGTATACTGTTTAAATTGCCATTAAATCCAACTCACTCACTGAAAGGGAGAATCTGATGCACTTGAACTCAAGACAGGATCCACTATACACTTCTTTCAGGTTGGGCACCTGAGGACTTTTCTGAAGACATCAGTGATTATGAAACCAACTGGTACTGGCACAGCCATTGTGTTCACATCAGAGATCGTGAAACCAACTGGTACTGGCACAGCCATTGTGTTCACATCAGAGATCATGAAACCAGCCAGATACCAAACTGCCTTGTCTGCCCTTCTCTGAGTGCACCTCAGCATAGATAACTCACCAAAGTGCCTTGTCTGCCCTTCTCTGAGTGCACCTCAGCATAGATAACTCACCAAAGTGCCTTGTCTGCCCTTCTCTGAGTGCACCTCAGCATAGATAACTCACCACAGTGCCTTGTCTGCCCTTCTCTGCATGCACCTCAGCATAGATAACTCACCAAAGTGCCTTGTCTGCCCTTCTCTGAGTGCACCTTAGCATAGATAACTCACCAAAGTGCCTTGTCTGCCCTTCTCTGAGTGCACCTTAGCATAGATAACTCACCAAAGTGCCTTGTCTGCCCTTCTCTGCATGCACCTCAGCATAGATAACTCACCAAAGTGCCTTGTCTGCCCTTCTCTGCATGCACCTTAGCATAGATAACTCACCAAAGTGCCTTGTCTGCCCTTCTCTGCATGCACCTCAGCATAGATAACTCACCAAAGTGCCTTGTCTGCCCTTCTCTGAGTGCACCTCAGCATAGATAACTCACCAAAGTGCCTTGTCTGCCCTTCTCTGAGTGCACCTTAGCATAGATAACTCACCAAAGTGCCTTGTCTGCCCTTCTCTGAGTAAACCTCAGCATAGATAACTCACCAAAGTGCCTTGTCTGCCCTTCTCTGCATGCACCTTAGCATAGATAACTCACTAAAGTGCCTTGTCTGCCCTTCTCTGAGTGCACCTCAGCATAGATAACTCACCAAAGTGCCTTGTCTGCCCTTCTCTGAGTGCACCTTAGCATAGATAACTCACCAAAGTGCCTTGTCTGCCCTTCTCTGAGTGCACCTTAGCATAGATAACTCACCAAAGTGCCTTGTCTGCTCTTCTCTGCATGCACCTCAGCATAGATAACTCACCAAAGTGCCTTGTCTGCCCTTCTCTGCATGCACCTCAGCATAGATAACTTACCAAAGTGCCTTGTCTGCCCTTCTCTGCATGCACCTCAGCATAGATAACTCACCAAAGTGCCTTGTCTGCCCTTCTCTGAGTGCACCTCAGCATAGATAACTCACCAAAGTGCCTTGTCTGCCCTTCTCTGAGTGCACCTTAGCATAGATAACTCACCAAAGTGCCTTGTCTGCCCTTCTCTGAGTGCACCTCAGCATAGATAACTCACCAAAGTGCCTTGTCTGCCCTTCTCTGCATGCACCTCAGCATAGATAACTCACCAAAGTGCCTTGTCTGCCCTTCTCTGCGTGCACCTCAGCATAGATAACTCACCAAAGTGCCTTGTCTGCCCTTCTCTGAGTGCACCTCAGCATAGATAACTCACCAAAGTGCCTTGTCTGCCCTTCTCTGCATGCACCTCAGCATAGATAACTCACCAAAGTGCCTTGTCTGCCCTTCTCTGCATGCACCTTAGCATAGATAACTCACCAAAGTGCCTTGTCTGCCCTTCTCTGCATGCACCTCAGCATAGATAACTCACCAAAGTGCCTTGTCTGCCCTTCTCTGAGTGCACCTCAGAATAGATAACTCACCAAAGTGCCTTGTCTGCCCTTCTCTGCATGCACCTCAGCATAGATAACTCACCAAAGTGCCTTGTCTGCCCTTCTCTGCATGCACCTCAGCATAGATAACTCACCAAAGTGCCTTGTCTGCCCTTCTCTGAGTGCACCTTAGCATAGATAACTCACCAAAGTGCCTTGTCTGCCCTTCTCTGAGTGCACCTCAGCATAGATAACTCACCAAAGTGCCTTGTCTGCCCTTCTCTGCATGCACCTTAGCATAGATAACTCACTAAAGTGCCTTGTCTGCCCTTCTCTGAGTGCACCTCAGCATAGATAACTCACCAAAGTGCCTTGTCTGCCCTTCTCTGAGTGCACCTTAGCATAGATAACTCACCAAAGTGCCTTGTCTGCCCTTCTCTGAGTGCACCTTAGCATAGATAACTCACCAAAGTGCCTTGTCTGCTCTTCTCTGCATGCACCTCAGCATAGATAACTCACCAAAGTGCCTTGTCTGCCCTTCTCTGCATGCACCTCAGCATAGATAACTCACCAAAGTGCCTTGTCTGCCCTTCTCTGCATGCACCTCAGCATAGATAACTCACCAAAGTGCCTTGTCTGCCCTTCTCTGCATGCACCTCAGCATAGATAACTCACCAAAGTGCCTTGTCTGCCCTTCTCTGAGTGCACCTTAGCATAGATAACTCACCAAAGTGCCTTGTCTGCCCTTCTCTGAGTGCACCTCAGCATAGATAACTCACCAAAATCCTTGTCTGCCCTTCTCTGAGTGCACCTTAGCATAGATAACTCACTAAAGTGCCTTGTCTGCCCTTCTCTGAGTGCACCTCAGCATAGATAACTCACCAAAGTGCCTTGTCTGCCCTTCTCTGCATGCACCTCAGCATAGATAACTCACCAAAGTGCCTTGTCTGCTCTTCTCTGCATGCACCTCAGCATAGATAACTCACCAAAGTGCCTTGTCTGCCCTCCTCTGCATGCACCTCAGCATAGATAACTCACCAAAGTGCCTTGTCTGCCCTTCTCTGAGTGCACCTTAGCATAGATAACTCACAAAAATGCCTTGTCTGCCCTTCTCTGAGTGAACCTTAGCATAGATAACTCACCAAAGGGCCTTGTCTGCCCTTCTCTGCATGCACCTCAGCATAGATAACTCACCAAAGTGCCTTGTCTGCCCTTCTCTGAGTGCACCTCAGCATAGATAACTCACCAAAGTGCCTTGTCTGCCCTTCTCTGCATGCACCTCAGCATAGATAACTCACCACAGTGCCTTGTCTGCCCTTCTCTGCATGCACCTCAGCATAGATAACTTACCAAAGTGCCTTGTCTGCCCTTCTCTGAGTGCACCTCAGCATAGATAACTCACAAAGTGCCTTGTCTGCCCTTCTCTGAGTGCACCTTAGCATAGATAACTCACCAAAGTGCCTTGTCTGCCCTTCTCTGCATGCACTTTAGCATAGATAACTCACTAAAGTGCCTTGTCTGCCCTTCTCTGAGTGCACCTTAGCATAGATAACTCACCAAAGTGCCTTGTCTGCCCTTCTCTGCATGCACCTTAGCATAGATAACTCACCAAAGTGCCTTGTCTGCCCTTCTCTGCATGCACCTTAGCATAGATAACTCACCAAAGTGCCTTGTCTGCCCTTCTCTGAGTGCACCTCAGCATAGATAACTCACCAAAGTGCCTTGTCTGCCCTTCTCTGCATGCACCTCAGCATAGATAACTCACCAAAGTGCCTTGTCTGCCCTTCTCTGCATGCACCTCAGCATAGATAACTCACTAGACTACCTTGTCTGCCCTTCTCTGAGTGCACCTCAGCATAGATAACTCACCAAAGTGCCTTGTCTGCCCTTCTCTGAGTGCACCTTAGCATAGATAACTCACCAAAGTGCCTTGTCTGCCCTTCTCTGAGTGCACCTTAGCATAGATAACTCACCAAAGTGCCTTGTCTGCCCTTCTCTGCATGCACTTTAGCATAGATAACTCACTAAAGTGCCTTGTCTGCCCTTCTCTGAGTGCACCTTAGCATAGATAACTCACCAAAGTGCCTTGTCTGCCCTTCTCTGCATGCACCTTAGCATAGATAACTCACCAAAGTGCCTTGTCTGCCCTTCTCTGCATGCACCTTAGCATAGATAACTCACCAAAGTGCCTTGTCTGCCCTTCTCTGAGTGCACCTCAGCATAGATAACTCACCAAAGTGCCTTGTCTGCCCTTCTCTGCATGCACCTCAGCATAGATAACTCACCAAAGTGCCTTGTCTGCCCTTCTCTGCATGCACCTCAGCATAGATAACTCACTAGACTACCTTGTCTGCCCTTCTCTGAGTGCACCTTAGCATAGATAACTCACCAAAGTGCCTTGTCTGCCCTTCTCTGAGTGCACTTTATCACTGACTGCCTGGGACTGATTTTCAGCCATCTTGAGGAGTTGCATCGCAGTGGCTGCTTCAAACTCCCTGTTTGTGCTGGCTTCTCTACGAGCTGCAAGCTTCTGTTCCATCTCTTGCCTCTGCCGTGTATGTTGCTCTAGAATGGCCTGGCAACAACCAGCATAACACTTACTCAATTATAGTCCTGAATGGTAAATCAAACAAAAGTCATTGTGTCTAATTCTGAGAATACTACCTCTATTTGATCATAGCCAATATATTTGGCTAATATCACATGTCACATCAGGTGCTGATGACTTCTTATGCTATTGTCATTTCCATGGAATCGTAGATCACCTCCAGATATTCTGGTGTGGACTGTGGATCTCATGTCCTTTGCAGTTACTCCAGATAAGCAGGAAGAATTCTTCACATTACTGCTTGTCATGAACATCTGAAGAGATCGTGGGGAAGAAGGTCTGTGACAGGCGGGTCTTTAGACATAGTAATGCAGGATATGGATACAAATGTAAAAAATATTAAGACTTAACTGAAAGAATTGAACTTATCCTGCATTACTCCTTAATGCAACTGAATCGGATGGTACAGCAGAGAGCAAACCTTTAGATGTGGTCTTCAGTACTATAAACTTTGCAGTAGTTCATGGCAGTAGTTGAGTGCATCACTTGCGCAGATCTGCAACTACTTCAACCAATCCTGTCTGGACAGTACGAGAGCATGAGGATGTCCCGGTAAAATGCAGCAAGAGAAATTAGCATGTGCTAAAGCCTAAACACTGATTTACCAAGCCAAACTGCTGGGCAGCAGAATAACCCCCTGTTGTTTGCGAACACTGCACGAGTTGGGTAAGGTTTGCGCTGGACAGGAGGAGCTTTTAATGGCGACGAGGATTGGTGACCTGTTGGGCTGTAACCAGAGGGCCAAAACTATGAATGCCTTTGACATCTTCCAAGGACATGTTCATCATGCAGTGACTTGCGAAGAGAATGTTGGACCTCCAAAACATTCTTCCATGATAGCTACCATAGAGCAATTACAGTTTAGAGCCATCTTTAGGGCAATCACCCGGATCTCATGAGGACTGTTCGCTCTTGGTTGATCAAGGTTGGTGAGCTCATAAGCCTGAAGGAACATAAAGATATGGTGTTGCGGCTGACTTCAGTTGTGGGGGTCTGGAAGACGGGAATAAACAAGCATTTCTGACCACCACACAGACTCTTGGAACGACGGATGTAAACTCGCAGTGCACACACAGGGCACACACTGGTCGGGTTGTCCTGGTAGTTGATTTTTGGCAATGAAATCCCAGCACAGCCCGAGGTTAACAGCTCTGAGTGTACCACTCTTGTAAACCGTACACGGGTAATGTCAAGAACGTGAAGCTCACTAACCCTTTCGGCTGTGGCCACCTCCAAAAAGATCGTCTTCTTGGAGAGGTTGTAAAACAATGTAGCTTGGAGAGGCCTGGGGGAGCACACAAACAACGAAGTAAACATTTAGATTCCAATATACTGCCAACACCAAATGGAGATCCATGAAATAAGTAGTAATGGTGCTGCCGTTAAGGTGTCGCTTGTATGCAGATGAAGGAGGTATTAAGCCAAGGATTGAGGAGTCCTGACCCTTTCCTTTACAAAAAGTTTTGTAGAATTGCCACTTATCATCGAAAGGGCTCGGTTTGAAGGTCAGTACGCCATAGCAATGCTTTTAACTTCCCGCGCCAAAACAATTAGCACCATCTGCTCTCTTAAGATGAGCCAGGCATGCAGATGAAACCTGCTTGGTGTTGGTTGTTGTAACTTGTTGTGTGGATGGATGAGTAGGTCGGGCCACCCTGGTAGAGCTGGTGGATAGCTTCCTGCAAGACTTCTGGGGTCTAGAAACCAACCTCTTGCTGGGCCAAAGCGCAATCAAAATCTAATGAGGCTCTTGGTTGCCTTGATCTTATGCATCATCCTGGGAAGAAGTACAGGACGTGGAAAAGCATACACTCTTAGCCCTTCTCAAGGGATGCTGAATGCATCGACTGCCCAAGCCTGAGTGTCTTGAATTGGGGAGACATAAGTCTTGATCTGGTCGTTCTGGCAAGTCACAAAGATGTCGATGTTGGGATGACCGAGGTGCCGACACACGAGATGAAACACCTCAGGATGGAACTTTCATTCCATCGGAGCTACCGTGTCTGGCAGAATGTTCAGACTTCCTGGAATGTGCTTAACCCTGAAAACATAGGCCCAGCTAATCCACTAAATGAAAGAACCAGAACAATTGTTGGAGGTGTGAGTTAGAGCGTGTCGTCCCCTGATGGCGCAGACACCAGACCACTGTGATGTTGTCGGTGGAGATGAAGTGTTGATGGAGTTGAGTGTACCAGAGGCGCTCCTGCTAGTGTGATATTGCCAAGATGAGCGCCTCCAACTCAAGGTTGTTGATGTGCCATGTGCACTGTGCACTGGACCACAGGCGGTTGTCTGGTCCTCTAGATGTGCACCCCAACCCTGTTGAGAGGCATCTATGAACAGGTGTGACGCTGGGGATAACTCTGTTAAGGAGACACCTCCTAAGACGTTTGACTCTACTGTCCACCAACTGAGATGACTCCTGAGGCAAGGCGGCAGAACGACTGATACGCAAAGGTCTTGGCATCTGATTTAAGGCACCAGGAACTGTTGGATCGGACACAGGTGTAGGCGACATCTGCTCGTTAAATCCCAGAAGCACCTGCCACTGATGAAGTGTGAGCAGTTGCTGAAGGGCAGGTGACAGATGGTTCAAGATACTGCGCCATCTGTCATGAGGTACTCATCTGGAATAGGCCTCCTATGAACTAGAGATGGTAAGAAGGAATATGTTCCAACTTCGTCTCGTTCACCATCCATCCCAGGTGTAGCAGGAGCCTGAAATCCCTGTGTTCTATTACAGTCGCCGAGTCCGGATTGTTCAGCAGACAGTCGTCAATGTATGACTCAAACTGGGATGTCCCTCAGGTGCAGATAGGCAGCTACTGGTAAATAACTACTGCCTATTGGTAGTGGACACCATTGAACTTGGATGGATAGGGACAAGCAGGTAAGCATCCTGTAGGTCAAGGCTGATCAAGGAATTGTAAGCATTGATTCTGGTCCTAAGGAGTCTCAAGGTAGTTAGGTGGAAGTATTGCGGACGCTCCAGGTAACACTCATTGAACACTGAGGATGCCGACTGCAGCTGACAAAGTAGCTGATACTTTGACTGATATCCCAGTTGGAGGTGGCCAAGTAACCCAGACAGTGGGTGGCAGTGATTTCAGCAAGGCCAGGCCAGCAGGGACTGCTGAGCAGGGTGTTTTACATGGGACCTGCGAATTGGAACAACAAAAATGTGAATGAAAAAGGTCACATTTTATGTCCAAACCAGGTATCTAAAACACTGCCACACGTACTGAGGACTCCAACCATCACAGGAGGTGGCAAAATTTACGTAGCAAGGCAATAAACAAGACCACAGGTTAGACCCAAACCTGGACAATTTATTGAAGCAACATATCTGTTGGGTGACAAGCAGTAATGTGAATTTGCGTGACGTCACCGCTTCCGGGGTCACGTCGGTACTGTGCTTGGGTCCTGCATCAGGCTAGTTGGAACCCATTCAGCTTCGTTTCTGTCAAACGTAAGCAGTAAATGCATTAAAGAGTAATGCAGGATAAGTTAAAACATTATATAAATATTTCGCTGGATTACAGGATAATAAAAATCCTAATCTAATATTTTAGTCTTGACATCTACCATCTAATGTTCTTTGAACTTTAGATGTTTTGTCATTGGCACACAGAGGAAAGAAGGGAGGTTATCTCACCTTGGCCATGAGCAGAAGGTAAGAAAGGCAAAATAGTATTACTTGCAAAACTAAAATTTGTATGGATTGTTAATGGTGGACTGTTTAAAATCTGAAGATTGTTTTCAGTGTGGTTACAAGCCAAATAACACCAATTAGGCACTGATGTAATGGAGGTAGAGTGTTCACAAGAATTACCCACCTGCCTCCTCATGGTCTGGTCAGCCTCCAGTTGTTGAAGGATGGCTGCTGTATCAACATTCTGACCCTCTACCAGTGCTGTCAAGCAAAGAAAGGCACAAACTTATTATTGATGAAACAGATTTGTATTCTCCTCTGACAAGAAACAAAATAGTCTTAATCATGTTTCGTGCATAGAGAGTAAGTTTCTTGTTTTCAGAGCTACATTGAAGAATGTCACAAGATGCCATGGTTAATTTATTATATCTTTGTGCCCTTCTGATGTTTGCTTTTGAGGACAAATGAAAATTAAACGATACCAGTTGTGAATCAGGTAAAGCTATAGTAAAAGCACAGATGTGATTAAGGAATGTTCTCTTGTCACCCAATGTCACTGTGCCCAACTAAGCAAAAGATTTGGAAGATGAGTCAGTCAAGATATTGTTCTGTCTCTATAGTTACTTTAAACTTTAACTGGATAGAAGTATCATAGTGAGAATTGGATGAAAATGATGAAAGTATGCTGGACCATTCCTGATGGAAAATATCCAAAATTGTTGTTGAAAGAAATGAAGAAATGGTTTGGTCCATCATAATATACACAAAGCAAGGTGAGTGTTAAAAAGTAGCATTTTTATATTACTGCTATGTTTCTGCTGATCAGATCAATATTATGTTGTATATGATAGGCTTTACACGGTAATCTATCTTAAAGCATAATAAAATCACCTGAATTTCTCTTTTATTATCTGAATTGATCAGCACTGGGTATACATGATGCAGGGAATCAATGGTGCAGGGTGTTCATCAGGGGCAGTTCACATACTAGTAGGAAGTGGAAACTTACAACCAGTGGTATTTACAGCCAGGGAAAGTGTTTTCAAATATTAAATTGTTTAAATATTGATTGTATTGATTAACCTGTGTTGTGGTCTTGGTGTGGGGGAAAGGATCGGATCAATGAAATATTGCTGGGAATGTGTGGTCAAACATTGGCTATTGTGAGTTGAGACAACTTGCTGGTGTACAAAAATGATGTGATTACATGCCTACTGTGGCCTTTAACCTTCTCCTGAATTCCCTACGGCTGACTGACTGGAAGACTGATGATAGGAAATCCTCTGAAGTTGTTATTCTTTGTGATGCCCTCGAGCAAATCACCACCACTGAAGTGCTTGCTGAATTACCTTTTGGAACATCATTGTATGACAACAGTGTGAGTGAGTTGGGTTTAATGCCACTTTTAACAGTATTCCAGTTATATCACGGCGTGTCAGCTTAATGTGGGAGGAAAGCCCGAAGTAATGCAGGTCTCAGACGTTTACCACTTCGGGGAAAGCCACGAGCACGGGTATGGTGCTGACAAACCTAGAAACATAATCAGGGCGAACCGGGATTCGAACCCACAATCATAGGTTTCTGGCGTGCCCAAGGGACGCAACTCTGCACAGCGAATCGCGGCGCCTTAGACGATTGGGCCACCTGTGCCCCCTGTATGACAACAACAAAATTACAACTTTTCATGATGCCTCAAACAGACTTGAACTATTAACTGTTGTACTCAATGCTGAGATTATTAGAAATCTTATTTTGGCAACATCATCATCATGATGGCCTTGTACAAACTTGAATCTATTTATAACTATTTTTATGATTTGTTTAAATATATTCACACCAAACATTGAAATCCCTAAGATTGGAAGAAAGTATATGGTGTGATCAAATTACAGCTTCATCAAACACACAGGTTTAGAAGAGAAGATGGTTTGTTTGATTGGACAGAGAGACATATGCCATAGGCTCACATAGGTTTGCCAGAAGAAAAAGCAAATTTTAAAATTTTACCATATCCAACTCATTGATTGGTCAGACATATTGATATATAGTCAGGTATATATACTGAACTTAAGGACACACAGGCCCATACACAAGAAGTTAGCTATTCATAATACATTGGATTTCAAGATACAGTGAGTGAGTGGGTGAGTATGGTTTTACGCCGCTTTTAGCAATATTCCAGCAATATCACGGCGGGGGACACCAGAAATGGGCTTCACACATTGTACCCATGTCGGGATTAGAACCCGGGTCTTCGGCGTGACGAGCGAACGCTTTAACCACTAGGCTACCCGACCGCCCTCAACTCTTAACTCTTTTAGATTCAATATGGTAATACTTTGACAAAGTATGTGTATCCACAGGAGGGCCTTTTATTTTTTATTAGTATAGTTTAAATATATAAAAAAAAATTCAGTGCCAGAAAAAAAAATACAAATGATTTCAACTTCTTTATTAAATTACTATTAAATGAAACAAACAAGTTTTAAGAAGTTCCCTGTAGAAGTTTGGCAGGATATTGAGTTCAGTGTTGATAGTGTCAGTAGTCAATGATTTCACACAAAGTTCCGCCAGATTCTGTCACCATAAACACCCACAAATATTTGCAGTGAAAGTTGAGCTGGCTCCAAGGTTGTTTCAAGGGTCATCAGCTGCTAAGTCAAGCGGTTTCTGTCATCAACCAGCAACACATAATATCACTTCCTCATAATTCTTGGGCAAGTTCTTTTTTATTGTGAAACAAAAATATGTCTGTAAAATGTTATTTATTTCTCGATAACCAACTAATAAAATATGAAAGGCCTGACATACCCACACAGGTGCACAGCAACATCACCAGCCACTGGCCACTATTACATGCATGGGGAAATGTGCTCAGTTTTCACAATGTTAATTTTTCACGGGGGAAAAACAATACAGACATAAACACATCAATAAAATGTTAACACAGTTATAACTCCATGCTTCATGGGAGATTATACAGTAATAGGATTCACCTGACAATGAAAGCTTTCGCTTTACGAAACCTGTGAAACAAACACATGATTAGAAATTGTACAACATGCTTTTTTAAACAGAGTGTTTCACTACTAATTGTGAACTGTAAAACATTCAGTTTTACTCTTACAACCTGGATTTGCATCTGTCAAATGTAAAGAGTGAGTCAATTAAGTTGAAATAGATCAATGCATTTAAGACGCAACACTTCTGTCTATAGGCAGACCCGTTCAGATCGGGTTGGAATAGGTCTTTAGCAACCCATGCTGTAAGAGGCAACTATGCTTGTCGTAAGAGGCAAACAACAGGATCGGGTGGTCAGACACGCTGACTTGGTTTTTGCGTGTCAACGTATCCCAAATGTGTGGATCGATGCTCATCACATCAACCACTGGACTGTCTGGTCCAGACTCATTTATTTACAGACCTCTGTCATATAGCTGGAATATTTCTGAGTGCAGTGTTAAAAAACAAACAAACAAAAAAACAAATTCTATTGGTATATCCTGGTGCAATCCAGTGTTTAAAGCACCCTCCTGTAGAAGCCTGTCAGTGCTAAACAATATACCCCATTTATACAACAGTCCTGATCCCAGCGGCAGATATAATACAGTGATGCCACGGTGCTATTTTCATTTGCTATTTTAATCTACAATGTCTCAAAAGTTACATTAAAATCATCTACCAGATATCCGTAGCCTTTCAACAATCTTGAGACACTGAAAGTGTCCAGGAAGTAACATTAAGAGACAATAGAGACATTCCCTCAATTACATTATCAATTGCATTTACTGATCCAACTTGCTTCAGTGTGAACACACCTATTGAACAATTTCCACTACATGACAACTGCAGTTTATAGCTGTAAAACAAAGACAACCGACTTGGTCAGCACAGAGGTCACATCTCATAGTAACATCACATTTCATGTTACAAAACTGTGAATAACCCAATAATGTAAGACATTCCTGTTGTCTGTGACATGACAGGTCTTGCTTTTCCAGGGTCTGCATCTCATTTCAATGCTAGCTTTTCATTCAGTTTATAGCAATCTTTTTAATGAAACTACATTGTATTATATTAAGCCAAAGGAATGATATTTTACAATGCACACTTGATTTTATATCGATACATGAAGATAAATGGTCAGTTATGGCACTTATTACTTGAGAGATCTATATAAATCCAATACAGTCCCTGGTAGTTCTCATGCTAGACAATCCCTGGTAGTTCTCATGCTAGACAATCCCTGGTAGTTCTCATGCTAGACAATCCCTGGTAGTTCTCATGCTAGACAATCCCTGGTAGTTCTCATGCTAGACAATCCCTGGTAGTTCTCATGCTAGACAATCCCTGGTAGTTCTCATGCTAGACAATCCCTGGTAGTTCTCATGCTAGACAATCCCTGGTAGTTCTCATGCTAGACAAGATTTTGCACTCATAAATCAAATTGTGGCAAATGTATATTTGAACCATACAGATCTATTTTGACAAATGGATGATTAATGAATGAAATAACAAAATATCAATTTCTATCTGATTCTTATTTTATAGATAGTGATAGCAATAGTAGATGGGATGCTATGCGTGGCTGTTAAACGTTCAGATGGTTGTGGCTAGCTAGCATCATCAGTATTGACTCCTTCCAACCTTGGATTCTAAATCTAAAAAACTTGTGTTATAGATGACATTATACAATAAATAAGTGGCCTAAAAGCTACCTTCTACTTTGCATGTATGACACTTTGTCTTTCAGAGTTACCACATAGTCCAACATACCAGCTTTAAGGGCTTCTTCCTTCTCTCTGTCAAACTCCTCCTCTATTTGTTGTTCTATCTGGGTAATGTCTTGGACTTTAGCAGAGTCCTCTGTGATGACCACTGGCTGGTCGTCACTGACCGTAAACAAGACTGCAGTGAGATTGTCATACCATCCCTCCCTCCTTGCCAGCCCTTGCATTTTCACCAGCTTCTCCAGCACAGCCTCCTCCTGCCACAAACCAACATACACAACATGGCATTTGGGTGCAATTCAAATACTGCGACTAGCGTCTATGTACAGGGATTCTGTATGCATGCAGAGCTAATAAAATATGAAAAAAGGAAACTGTGCCAAGGAACTGTTGCTCACCAGACACATTCAAGGGGAGGTGAATGTTATGTGTAGTGAACTCAAGTAGGGGAAGTTGGACTTTGTTGGCTGTGTATAAAACAGGGTATGTTTCATGTCCAGATGTAATCAATTCCAAACTTTGAACAACAATGTTATGGCACCATTCATGTAAGGTATCACCACAGCAATAATTATGAGAAGTTGCCTGTTTTTAATTTTTGCAACATTTAAGTTGCAACTGATGGTGCCTGAACATAATGAAAGAAACTTAAAATCATCATTACTGATGCATACCGTTTTAACTCGATCGTTGTTCAACTTAAAAACAAATCATCTAAATATTTCGATTCCATGCCATGAACCAATGCAAGTCAAATGAAATATATAATACATAGTCATCACTCTTCATCCTTGTGGTCTCTATAAATGTTTACCACTATAAAAATAAGTCATTTTAAAATTTTACTCGCATGACTAAATCTTAATCCCATGGTGTTTCTACACATCATATTAACATTTCAGATTCCTAGACTTTGTGGTTTCTTAGCTGATATTTTTCTTCAAATCCAAAAAAAGAAACTCCAAAATATGATTTTAAAGCCATGAGCAAATATGTTGGTGCAAGACAGCCTCTTAAAGTATCAAGCTCCTCCCTCCATCAGTTCAGAGAAGAAGTTAAAAGTTACAGCCAGACAGATGACAGATGTTGAGAAGACCAACAAGTATTGCCAAAGCTCACTTTATTCCTGGTGAGCTAAATATAGTGCCAACCATGGCATTGCTGCTCTCCAGGTAAATTCTGAGTGAGCTAAAAGTAGTGAAATCCTTCGTCATTATGTAAGGCTGTAAGTTCGTAAAATATATTTTACAAATTATATATTTGTCATTTTCTTGCACCGAACATGTCCAAATTCAATACAGTTCCACACATCCTCAAAATAGTGACCCATCCCCCTCATCCTCTTGACCTTCAGAGAAGAATATGAGATTAAATAAGATCATTTAGCAAATCACATTATCTCACCCCCCACCCCACCATCCACACACACAAAAACTACACACAAAAAACACAACCAAACAAATCCTGCCAGCCCCCAAAACAAAACAACAAACACACAAAAACAAAATACAACAAAAAACAAACTAAACTATGCTGTATACAATGTGCTTATTTCAATACAAAAGTAACAACTCTCCTACCTTATTAGTAATCAGTGAAGCAAACACATGAGCATCCCTAGTTTGCTTCTGCTGCAAGTCAGTGAGAATCTCGACATCAATTTGGTCATCTAGGGACTTATCCTGTCCAAGTCTTCTCTCCACTGAATGGCAAAAATTCAAATTAAATGTGTTGACATGAACATGTAATCTAGGGTCATCAGGCTCTCTACTGCCTTTAACTAAAGCCAGGCTTGGTCATATACACAATCATCACACAGTCAAAAGTAAAGAGAATCATGGACAGTAACCTTCAAACAAAACATGTTCATGTGTAACTCAATATTCTTTTTCAACCAAACACTTTACTCTCGTGCATGAGCCAACAAGACAGAGTCACAACTACTGAAGGTAAATAAACACTATAAAGTTTACAGCTGTAATGGCCACACACACTTTGAATATTCCATGAACCACAAAAATTATTTGAAGCTGGATACCAACCAGAGTTGAGAAGGAAGTACTTTCCACTATAGTAGCTTCCATCTTAGTGCGGCCACCAAACTAGCTGTCTTAATCAGAGGTATGCTAATTCGACTTAAAACCTCTTGAGACTTTCCAAAGTCATGGTAGGATGATACTAATAACTGTCATGATGCATTGCCCCTAATGTGAGAATGAGGTGAAAGTACAGTCCATGATGATGTTCTTCTGGAGCAACAAGAGACCTTCTAGTCTGTATATCAGGGCCTTCTTCAGGAGGTGGAACTGTTCAGCTCTTCTTTCAGCTGTGTCCCTTGGAATGGACTGGCCTTCACCAAGTACTGTTTGCCGGCTCTTGTTCAGCCACTTGCTGTGTTCTTGCTGAAGACTAGCTAATTGCTTTTTCAGCTCCTGGAATAATCACAGTTATAAACCATTGTTTCACATAATCCCGTACAACCCAACATGGTTAGGGAGTACAGGGACATTCAGTAAGGCTTGGCTTTGTGGTAGTGTTCATGAAAATAAAAGGTGGATGTGGAGAAAGAGGAGAATGAGAAAGTGGGAAGTCTTAATCCTTAGGACAGAAGTTTCACGCCATACATGACACTCCTGTATCATAGCCTGGAATTATTTAGAAAGTTAGTTAACTAGACTGAAAATACATCTGCTCCTGCTAGCAGAACTGGGAAGCCCAAGCTAGAGAATGTGGAGTGGGATAGAGCACCTGCAGCCAGGGCTCCTATGTTTGGTTGGAAAGAAAATGGCTACACATACTGTAAATCTTGAAATTAATGCGAGCATGATATATGCGAAAAATGTGAGTGGTCTTTGTTTCCATTACTGAAACTTTGCATTCTCCAAAATGACTATCAACATTAAGAGGGCCTCACTGCACACTTTGGATAGGGGAAATACCAACTTGAATATAAACACAAACATGGTTTATTGAGCAGCAGTTGTAATAAGTACATAACAATGTCATTCAAAGAATAGGAATTACACAATGGGCATCTGGTGAGTTATCACTGTTTGGTCAAGAGTTCTACCCACTCATGTCAAACTAGGCATCATTGACCACTCCAGCAGTCCAGACAGAAGCTAGCCACATAACACTTTGTCAAAGACAGACACGACCCAACACGCACCGATTGGCTTCATCCCACTCCTCAGATCTACAGCTTTTGTCTTGTCATCTGCCTTCAAGTTTGTTGACACCTTCTCCACATACCAATCAGTGAACTGTTGTTGGTTCAATTATTTTATTCCCCTTGAAATTCCTTAATGCCAGTCAGCAGAAGAAACATATAAAATGTGTGTCATTTTAGGGAAAACACCGTTTATTGTTTTTTTACGGAAGCGTTCTACTCAGCGCTAATAAGCGGTGCTATTTGTGTTTTATTGAATTAATTTAAGGTTGGATTAAGGTAAGAATATGGATCATTCCACTGGGGATGGGTTGAGGGGAGTCGCATTATTAGTGAGTTGCATTTAGGTCTCAGGGTCAGTAGTCACATTAATTTGGAGACACAGTAATTTCAAGATATACAGCATATGCAAGTAGGTAATAATCAAACTTCGTCGAAAGTGTAGAAAAAACACATTTACTGTTTCTACCAAGCATACTTAAAGTCTAGCTTTGTCATTTTACAATTTAATAAAAAATACATGTATCCAGTACAGATTTGACACAAAGGAGAAGGATATCTCATATATCTGCATCTATACTTGTGCTATGAGTAAAACAGTGTGATATATTCATATCACTTAGGATATCCAATTATTGCTGAGTTTGTAATTGTAATCTTTATTACATCTATTTGTTTAGTAATTGGTATTAGAAAATAATTGTAGGAGATACATTAAAGAAGAGTGTTACCTGAACAGCCTTGTGATTCTTAGCAGTCTTCTGAGCGGGTGTGTCAGCAGAGGCAGCCTGCAGCAGCTGTATAAGTATCTCCCTCTCCTCCCTGTGGCGCTCATCCATGTCCCCCAGTAACCGCTGCTCTACTGCTGTGTCTGTAGCATACAACAGTCAACAGTCATCCTACTACAGCTCATCCGTGTCCCCCAGTAACCGCTGCTCTACTGCTGTGTCTGTAGCATACAACAGTCAACAGTCATCCTACTACAGCTCATCCATGTCCCCCAGGAACTGCTGCTTTACTGCTGTGTCTGTAGCATACAACAGCCATCCTACTACAATCTTTAGAAGAGATATTAAGAATTATGAGAATGACATTGTGAGCAGGTCTCTAAAGCACCCCAGTGTTGTTAAGGTTAATCAACCCAACACAGACTTTGGGAACCTGCACCTATCACTTTTAGGAATGGTGCCGAGTTAGCATATTCTATTATTACATTTCAATGTCATGAACAGTCCTTATACAACTCATGTCAAGACACATTCACATACAAAATCAGTTTAATCATTAAGATACATTAAAAAATGTTAAAGAACATGCATAAAGTTATGTTTCCAAATAGCAGAGTTCCAATGTACAGATCAACACTTACCAATTCTGTTTGTTAGCTTCTCATTCTCCAGTATTTCTGTCAGACCCTCTACATCCTGCTCCAGATTTTGTCCCTTCTCTCTTTTCCTGAGGGCATTCAGTCGATCGTTAGCCAGTTGTTTTTGTCGTTCACGTTCACGTGCAAAACTATATGGGTGAGAGAAAGTAATAAGGTTATTGGGACACAATAAACAATTTACATCCTACAATGTCTTTTCATTCATTCATTCATTCATTTTTCTGCAACAGAGATGTTTTGGAGGAGTATGCTTCTGAGTGGAAGAATCTTAAACATTTTCACATTTCGAATTTCCGCCAATATCTTTAAAAAACAGTATTTTTTTTAGATTTCTGGCATGAACAAATCTGAGCCCCACTGAGTTGCTCCACATCATACCAATAGGTTTATAAACCTTATTGTTTCTAAGAAGATATTCATTTAGACTTTTGCTGATTTGATTTCTTCTCACCCATCAGTCAGTTCAGAGAACATTCCTGAGAAGGACAGTCAAAGGCCAGTCAAAAGCCAGATTGACAAGATGAAAATCAAAGAGTGATGCCACAATCTGGCTGGGACCTTCAGTCTGGATCAGTCAAAAATTCTTTGTTGCAGGAAATGCCTTTCACAAAACTTCCTTTATTGACAAACTTTGAGCACATTTGGTGGAAACGTGTGGAACATCATCATAACTTGCTGTTTGGAACATTCATGTCAAGTTGCAGCTTTTTCAGTTGAGATGTTTCAGAAAAATACATAACTGTTAATGCATGCTCTATGATGACTGACAAATGGGCCATGACATTAGGACTAGGACTACTTGCCCATGTCATATGAAGTGGTGAAAATCAAATGATTAAAATCACAGAATTAGATATTTCACATTCTCATATAAATATTTAACATATGTCGCACAAACGTAAGAATTATACATTATTTGTTATGCAAACACACTTTTCATATAAATAAATCCTTTGAATATATATTGTTGTGAGATTTGCTAATGTATTAGGTTTGTTTTCGCCAGTTATAGGATCATTTTCATTTCGGAACATTTGAGCCATAACCCATTTCGACACAGTAGACATTGCTATATGAATCAGTTCTACACAGTAGACATTGCTATATGAATTTGTTCTACAGAGTAGACATTGCTATATGAATTGGTTCTACATAGTAGACATTGCTATATGAATTGGTTCTACACAGTAGACATTGCTATATGAATTGGTTCTACACAGTAGACCTAGATGTATGAATCAGCTCTACAAATAGACATTGCTGTATGAATTGGTTCTACACGGTAGACATTGCTATATGAATTTGTTCTACAGAGTAGACATTGCTATATGAATTGGTTCTACACAGTAGACATTGCTATATGAATCAGTTCTACACAGGAGACATAGATGTATGAATCAGTTCTACACAGGAGACAAAGATGTATGAATCAGTTCTACACAGGAGACATTGCTATATGAATCAGTTCTACACAGGAGACATTGCTATATGAATTGGTTCTACAAAGGAGACATAGATGTATGAATCAGTTCTACACAGTAGACATTGCTATATGAATTGGTTCTACACAGTCGACATTGCTATATGAATCAGCTCTACAAGTAGAAATTGCTGTATGAATTGGTTCTACACAGTAGACCTAGATGTATGAATCAGCTCTACAAGTAGACATTGCTATATGAATTGGTTCTACACGGTAGACATTGCTATATGAATCAGCTCTACAAGTAGACATTGCTATATGAATTGGTTCTACACAGTAGACATAGATGTATAAATTGGCTCTACACAGGAGACATATATGTATGAATCAGTTCTACACAGGAGACATAGATGTATGAATCAGTTCTACACTGGAGACATTGCTATATGAATCAGTTCTACACAGGAGACATTGCTATATGAATCAGTTCTACACAGGAGACATTGCTATATGAATTGGTTCTACACAGGAGACATAGATGTATGAATCAGTTCTACACAGGAGACATTGCTATATGAATCAGTTCTACACAGGAGACATTGCTATATGAATCAGTTCTACACAGGAGACATTGCTATATGAATTGGTTCTACACAGGAGACAAAGATGTATGAATCTGTTCTACACAGTAGACATTGCTATATAACCAGGGTATTTTAGAAAAAGGGTTTTTGGTATTTACTTAAAATGTAGTTTACTAAACTAAGCTTTTGGGTAACATATAGACGCATATGAGAGAAGTGATTGAGCAGTGTGAGGCATCATCCCTGGGGCAAGTGATTATGGGTTTTGCTTCTCTTAAGTGATAGAGTATAAACTTTTCATTAGTACAATGAATTAGTAGAATTGGTCTTGAAATGGGAATGTCAGAAGGGAGATAGATAGATGGAACAAAATGGTTAGACTTGTGGTGATCAAACATTTCTGAGTACTACTGCCTGATTGGAATGTCTAAATAACATGAATAAGTATCTTTTTCGGTGTCTTCCAATCTGGCAGAAGTAGCTGAGGGAATCTGATTATATGAGTATGTCCAAGTTGACCAATGACTTAAAGAGGTAATCAAATTGGTTAGTTCGAAAAGCTTGATGGTAAAACTATTTACTATGGAAATTGGGGAATGACCATTATGACTCATTTCTCATGATGTCAAATGTGATTTTGGAGGGAGGAGCTAAAATTATCATCGATAGTATTTTGTGAGTTGTCCGAGAGTGGTGCGGGGAGTCGGGAGCATACAGCTGAACAGAAAGGTTCACTGTGGTTTTGGGATCCCGAGTCAGAAAAGAAGTAGAGTTAACGTTCATCAGAAAAACCATCAGGCTCTTCAACCATCATCTAGGTATGTGTTGTATTTATATCAGGCAACAACAAGAACTAATCTGAGGACCATGTATACATATTTATGATTAATTCTATCATAAATAAAAAGGACTGGAGCAAACCATCTGACTTGTGATTTTGAGAGAGCTACATCATCCCTAGAACCAAGGAGTAGTTGATAAGTAGAAGTGACCATAGGTAGAAGGGTAAAGTACCCGGAACCTAAGGTTACAGCTATATGAATCAGTTCTACACAGGAGACATTGCTATATGAATCAGTTCTACACAGGAGACATTGCTTCTGGGAACGAGTGATACTCCCATGCGGACTCTATGGATGTAATGTCTGGGGGCTATTAAACCTCAAAGAATACGATATGCTGGAAGTTATTCAACGTTATTTCAGTAGAAAAATACAGGGCCTTCCAAAATGTACATCAGGTACTGTTGCTGTGGACAACATGGGCTTGATATCTCTCCAATCCTATATTGACAAACAGTCACTGTTACTACTTGGAAAACTATGCCGATCCAGTTACAGCTATGTCTTTAAAAAGGTATTCATTACTCGCCTTGGGCAGTTTAGATACGAAATAGCGTTGGATAACTTCAAAAAACGATGTGCTTTGTCACCTGTATATAACATGCTCAGACTTGTCAAAAAATACAATCTTAATGCAGAAATAGAAGATTATCTAATTAAATGTAGCTTCCCAAGTAAAAAGGCATGGTCTGATATTGTTAAGGAAAGGAAAATTTCTGCAGACCAGGAAGCTGTATGCTCTAAGCTGCTATCTAGACTTAACTTAAATAGATATGTTTCGCTACGTAATGATAAAGAACACAGACTCTGGCTACTTGCACTTGAATGTCCTGAACAGTTCCCAAACCTGTCTCATCTTGTACGGCTGGGATGCATAAATATAGAATCTAGGGAATGTCGATGTGGAATTGTAGCTCATGATATTATTAAGCATGTCTTTTTGTATTGTACATTGAATATGAATGACAGAAATGAACTATTTGAAATCATTTGTGATGTGATAGATGTCTCTACAGTTGCAAGACTATGTAGTGAGGAGGATGATACAATCCTGTCTGTACTACTTGGCGGTATGCCTGAGTGTGTTAGCTCTTTATCTCAAAGTCTATGGGGTGACCTTATGGCTATTGTGTCAAGACATTGTAGGAAATGGCTGTATCTGTTACAAAACAGTTATAAGAATGCTTGATTGTCATGCATTTTGTAGTTATCATTTCTAATAATATTGTTCAATTGTACTACTGTACAGCTCTGTAATTATACATAATATCATATATGATATGTATCTTCAATATCTGGAGGAAATAAAGAATATCTATCTATAAATCAGTTCTACACAGAAGACATTGCTGTATGAATCGGCTCTACACAGTAGACATAGATATATGAATCAGTTCTACACAGGAGACATTGCTATATGAATCAGTTCTATACAGTAGACATAGATATATGAATCACTTTAACACAATGGACATTAAACAATAGTTATCATTGTTAATAATTCTAAAAATACTACCTCCATTACATCTCTGTATTTTGGCTTCAGTCACACTGACTAAAGTTGTTTTTTTATTTTCAACACTGTCACTGTCAGTCACCCACAATTAGTTGTTCATCATAACCATCATAATCCCCAAGCTATGACGTATGTAATGGAGGGAACCTCACTTTTTTCCCAACATCTTACCACTATAAGGTAGATAAATTGGGGAGGTGGGTGGGAATACTTTGGATGTAATAGAGGTAGTATGCTTAGAATTAATAACAATGATAACTATTGTTCGATAACTCTTAAGAAATCTCTACCTCTATTACATCTCTGCCAGAATATACCAGAGGGACCCAGTGGGATCTGCCTCTAGTAACTCCCTGTGTAATTGACAGTAATCTCTTCTGGAAACCATTATTTACTGATTCTTATCCTAACTCGAGATAATTTACTCTGAAATTCCCACTGAGGACTTGAAACTCAGAAATGTATCAAGAATAAGTCAAATATGTGACACTTTCACTAGAACTACCATTATATTTGCTGATCTTGTTCGTAATAATGATGTCATTTCTAATCTATTTCTGCTTAATGATGTCATTTCTTGTTAAATTTGGATTTGTGACACTAATACCGGTGCTGACAATACTTCTGATACTGATGTCACTCCCGATTTGTCACTTCCCTTTTACAATGACGTCTCTTTAGGTCTATTTCTACCAAAGACGTCATTTCCTGATTAGATGGACCTTGAACGGCTATTTCCGGTGCTGACGTCACTTCCAGTTATGTTCTCACTTCCGGTTATGACGTCACTTCCAGTCCTCTGGAGGCAGTTAAAATTGATACTGAAGGTGCTTCTCATCCATCCTACACCTAATAGACAGAATAATCACAATCAAGGGTGTACTCACCCTCTGATACTGCTGGTGTCAGAACCTCCCCCCACTTTTTTTTTGATAGATGGGGGAAAACTATTGGTGGATGATATAGTTTGCACCTCGACAATAGGACCAAGGGAATATATGCCCTCTAGGTCCGGTTGCACATCATGCAAGTAAAAACTGGTGAAGGTGTTTTATGAGGTCCACTGACAGCTAGAAACTACTTGTTCTACTGAGACTGATGTCCATGAAGTAAGACTCGTGGCTAGGGCTCTGATTTCATGAGCTGAGCAGGATCAGAGATGTGGCATAGAAGTCTGAGCCTGTTTATAACTTGCTGCACCAGTTTGTACCCGTGAGCCATGATGTTTGAAATCCAGCTGTCTGGCATTACCTGGCTTTCAATTTTTGGCGTATGACAGAAGGCGCCCTCCCACTGGTCCCAGGGTCAGCATTATGTTGAAAGACGGCAGGCGTAAATCACAGTCCATAGACATAACCGGGTTGAAAGGGTCTATAACATAGGAGAGGGGAGCAGGTAAGTCAGAATCTGTGTTTGCCTATGCCTTCAGATCTTCCACGGTGATTGAAATCTCATTTTTTGAAGTCTGGCTGATGAAAAGATTCCTGAGAAGATTGGTGCTTGTCGTACCCCGGACTCGGTTGGAATGAATCCTTCATGGAGGAGACAAATCACTTCTTAGGAAGCTGTTTAAATGATGAAGCTTTCTGGTCACAGGAACGCTTCTGGGGATGGGACAATCTATGGGCCTTGGCAGCTAGGCTGATAGTTGATGCTTGGAATCGTTCCTTAGTATCTTGTCTGACTTTATGTCTATTACACGTCCCAATTTCCCCTTGAATATTGTGGGAGCCAATATCGGTTGTGACATTATCAACCTCTTGGTTTGGTTAGAAACAGCTTTAGAGCAAATCTGAGCTAGGAGTTGTTGACGCTGCAGCCATAGTAGCTGTGAAGACACCCAGACTTGAGAGGAGAGTAAGTCTTTCTGCATTCTTACAATAGTATCAAGTAGGCTGTGGCATTTACAGATGGCAGTCCCCCATGTGGTCATGTGACAGGGAGACTTATCTTCGCAAAAGCTATCTTGTTTGCACTCAACATATTGTCCAGTTCTTCGTCTCAACCATAGTCTTCATCATCTGGAGTGGGAGAAGCTTGGTTGGAGGCAGATGTCTTAGCTGTGATGACCTCCATCTTCTTCTTGGGCCTCTTGTGGCTCTTAGCCTTGGTAATAGCCTTGGTAATAGCCTTGGCTATTTTGATGAAGGTTTTCTTAGATGTGTTGGCGCACTGCTCACATCTCTTGTCCTCCATGCAAGTCATCCCTCTGCACTACATGCAGTTACCATGGAATCTCCCATGATCATGAATCGACCATACTTCTTGCAAGTGGGAGTAGAAGACTCCACTACGACCTCACAAACATTTAGCACCAGCTATACTCACGTGCATGCGACTGTCATTCCAGAAGCATCTATTAATATCTACTTAACGGGTATGTGTCTTTTATTATAGAAAACTATTAAAATAATCTTAGATTAATGTGACTTACTACCAAGTGCTAGATCATTACTACTATTACTCTAGCACACACAGGAAAAAAGTGAGGTTCCCGCCATTGCATATGTCATAGCTTGGGTGGTTACGATGCTACTTGGGAACAACTTATTGTGTGTGATTGACAGTGAAGAGGACGTCTGTTGAAAATCTGAAAATTTTAGTGAGTTTTGACTGAAGCCAAAATACAGGTTTTATTGCAGAGATGTAATAGAGGTGGGAATTATGTAAGAATTATATGAATCAATAGCTGAATATAGACCCAAAATGACATTTTCAGCCACTATTACACAGAATCAAATATCAGCTGTTAAAACCTATGACTAGACATGTGAATTTGAAATGCAATACAACTAGATAAGGGAACAGAAGAAGGTTGATGATCACAGTAGAGCAAAAAAAACAAACATTATTCCACATACCCAATATTTACTGCTGACCATATCTCATAATAATACATGCATTAGGGCCAAGTAAATGGGGAAAATTGCATTCGTAAAATGGCCTATGATGAGGCGTAATTAAAATATGTTAATGGAGCTGTTTCAGCACTCTGTGGAGACACTTTTGCTGGGATAATATTGTGATGAGTTTCAGCATAGCAGTATTTGTGGTTTTAAAGGAGATATTGTAAATGTAAATGTTTATGATAGGCTTAAGACAAATGAAAGACAAGGTGTACTTAATGCAACTGCAACTAATTTAAAACAGTTTGTCCCTTGCAAATGGATGAAGGGTGTATAATTTCAGGCATATTTCATATTTTGCAGATGTCAAGTGGATGTGGAAACTCCTACCTGTTCTCATGGTCACTCATTGCTTGCTGCCCGATACTGAAAACAAGGCAGGCTGAATCCAGATCATCTTCTCTCTGCAGCAGCTTCTGATCCCGCCGCAGTCTTGCAATAGCTGCCTGTTTCTCCCGCTCCTGCTGCATCTGGTCTTCCTGAGCTCCAAGCTGAGCAAGCAAGGCAGCTTTCTCCTCCTCATACTGAACTTCCAGTGTCTCAAGAATATTCTAAAAATGACATTTTATCCACTTTAACTATTGCAAGATTAAATTATGCATACTATGATGAAACAATTACAGAAGATAAATAGTTTGAAACTGTTTTATGTTGATTTAAGCTATCATACTGCTAGGGAAATGTTCAAAATGTTTAGTATGAATGATATGAGTGAATTGTGAAATTGCCTAGAGATATGAAGGAACTGTGAAGGTTTCACATGGGGTAGGAACGTGGGGTTCTAAAATGGTCATTTCAAATATTCCAACCATCGTAACAAAGTACTGAGGCAAAGGTTGGTCTGTTACTAAGCCTTCTATAGTTCCATGACTGAACTTCTTGTCTTTCCAAAGATGGAGTTAGAAGTCTGCTACTATTGGTATAGTTACATTGATATTTCCCAATCCTCTTCTTCTTCGCCACTGGCCACATTTATCCCATCTGTTGTCTAAAAGATGGATGAAGGTCTCCGAGATCATGCCACTGCTTCTGATGCAGCTTTGGAGCAGCTGGTAGCTCACATTTTATTCGTGATAGTTTCCAAGCGTGAAGATAAAGACTGTGACAGCTGAAAAATATGTCTGATCTGGGCTGACGCAGAAGGTCATGGCATTCCGGTAATTTGAGCAGTTCTTCCATGAGGAGTGAAAATATCCTGGGAAACCATGGCTTGCTTAGCGAAAGAGAACTATGACCATCATCACGCAATCTGTGTCTTCCAGTTTCCTCACAACTGTGTTTGCCATGATGCCATGGAGGGAAGGCTAAAGCAAATCCCTTTCCAGCTCATGGAGGGCTTGTGGATCTTGGGCAGGACTGACATACACTGGGAGTTTGTTGTTGCAAATAAGTCCAGCTGAGGAGTAACCCACTTTGAGGTTATCCACATGAATATGTCTGGATGGAGACCATTCTGATGTTAAGATCTTGCTCCTACGGGAAAGACCGACTGCCAAGATGTTGAACTTTCCCGGGATGACAGGCAAATACAAATAAAAGTGTGTCTCTCTTATCAAATTTGCAGAACTTGTACCTCCTTTCTGCTGGATATATCCTACCACTGAGGTATTGTCTGCAGCCACCAGGAATGAGGACGATGTCAGGAGATATTTCCTATTTCCATGTCTTGATGGCATAATAGAATGCTCTCGTCTTGAGACAATTTATGTGGAGATTCTTCTCATGGATTTCTTCCTTGGACTGTTATTTTTACATGGGAGCTCTCCATCCTGAACTGGAGGCATTGATGGCACTGATGTTTGGGTGCAGGGAACAGGCACATTTTGGGTTGTGTCATAGGATTGAAGGAATTGCAGTGTTGGGTTAGGATAAGAAATAACCTATCATGACACAAAACATCTTAATGTCATAGGATTGAAGGAATTGCAGTGTGTTGGGTTAGGATAAGAAATAACCTATCATGACACAAAACATCTTAATGTCATAGGATTGAAGGAATTGCAGTGTGTTGGGTTAGGATAAGAAATAACCTATCATGACACAAAACATCTTAATGTCATAGGATTGAAGGAATTGCAGTGTGTTGGGTCAGGATTAGAAACAAGTATTTGTCACAGAGTGACGAAATATCCCCCGCCTGTACACCATAGTACCAAATATGAAGACAATCCAGCGATTAGTTCTTGAGATATTGTGGCAACACCGTTTTCCAACTCCAAAAACAGATTTGCCTGCTGTGACCTTGAAAATGGGGTCAAGGTCACCAAATCTGACAGGTGTATGCGGTGTCTGTATATACACTATAGTTCCAAATATGAAGACAATCCAGCGATTAGTTCTTGAGATATCGCGGCAACACCGTTTTCCAACTCCAAAAGCAGATTTGCCTGCTGTGACCTTGACAATGGGGTCAAGGTCACCAAAACCGACTGGTGTCTGCGGTGTCTGTATATACACCATAGTTCCAAATATGAAGACAATCCAGTGTTTAGTTCTTGAGATATCGCGGCAACACCGTTTTCCAACTCCAAAAGCAGATTTGCCTGCTGTGACCTTTAAAATGGGATCAAGGTCACCAAAACCGACTGGTGTCTGCGCAGTCTGTATATACACCATAGTCCAAATATGAAGACAATCCAGTGTTTAGTTCTTGAGATATCGCGGCAACACCGTTTTCCAACTCCAAAAGCAGATTTGTCTGCTGTGACCTTGAAAATGGGATCAAGGTCACCAAAACCGACTGGTGTCTGCGGAGTCTGTATATACACCATAGTTCCAAATATGAAGACAATCCAGTGTTTAGTTCTTGAGATATCGCGGCAACACCGTTTTCCAACTCTAAAAGCAGATTTGTCTGCTGTGACCTTGAAAATGGGGTCAAGGTCACCAAAACCGACTGGTGTCTGCGGAGTTTGTATATACACCATAGTTCCAAATATGCAGACAATCCAGTGTTTAGTTCTTGAGATATCGTGGCAACACCGTTTTCCAACTCCAAAAGCAGATATGCCTGCTGTGACCTTGAAAATGGGGTCAAGGTCACCAAAACCGACTGGTGTCTGCGGAGTTTGTATATACACCATAGTTCCAAATATGCAGACAATCCAGTGTTTAGTTCTTGAGATATCGCGGCAACAAACAGGTGGGACGTACGGACAGACGTACGGACGGACAGACGTACGGACGGACGTACGGACGGTCTTGAATACTATATCCCCCGCTTCGCGCTTTCGCGCGGCGGGAGATAATAACCTATCATGATGCAAAACATCTTAATGTCATAGGATTGAAGGAATTGCAGTGTGTTGGGTTAGGATAAGAAATAACCTATCATGACACAAAACATCTTAATGTCATAGGATTGAAGGAATTGCAGTGTGTTGGGTCAAGATTAGAAATAACCTATCATGATGCAAAACATCTTAATGTCATAGGATTGAAGGAATTGCAGTGTGTTGGGTCAGGATTAGAAATAACCTATCATGACACAAAACATCTTAATGTCATAGGATTGAAGGAATTGCAGTGTGTTGGGTCAAGATTAGAAATAACCTATCATGACACAAAACATCTTAATGTCATAGGATTGAAGGAATTGCAGTGTGTTGGGTCAGGATTAGAAATAACCTATCATGACGCAAAACATCTTAATGTTCCAGGTTTATCCCTGAATTGGGCTTGTTCAGATAAAATGTAGAAAGTAACAAATGAAACTGCTGTATTAAAAGTTCCTAATAACATGAACGTTTGTGCCTGGTGAGCAAAAAATATGATGACTTAAACAAAAACAATAGGGACAGATGATTACACTTCAAAACAGCCTAACTGGAGGTGAGGTGAAGTGGGGTTTAATGTCGCAGTCAAGATTATTATATAGCGATGTGCATGCATATGTGTGTGTGTGTGTGTGTGTGTGTGTGGCTGCTTGTACTAGTCCGTACTAATGCTGATTTTACAGTGCTAGCCCATGAGGTACCATACTGCAGTTTAACATGAATACCCCACTCAGACACAGTATACTGACTCCAAGCCGACCAGTCCTTGTTTTAGCCCCTTAATGCCAAGTGCCAGACAGGGCAACAACAAGTACCATCTTTTGACATATGATAAGCACAGGGATTGAACCCCAGAGCTTCTGCTCTTCTGGTGGACACTCTACCACTAGACCACAGTCCAGCCTAACTAGAAGGTCAACTTAATGATTGTGCAGTAGTCACACCATTGAATATTGTTCTGAATGTTTTAGATTATTCTACATAGGCACACGAAAGAATGATATGTAAGGTAATGCTTACCTTTCTCTCTGAGCTGTTTTCTTCTTCTTCCTCTAAGATGCTGTCAAGAAATTCTTCATCTGCAGCCATGCCCTTACTATGTCGCTCTTCTCGTAGTTGTCTCCGCCTCTCCATCTGTGCCTCTAGCTTCCTTCGCTGTACATCCTGCGACTCACTCAGCATCTCTTCCAGACCTTTTATTTGGCAGGGAACAAACACACAAAACATCCCATTACTTAAAGGGGCATACATGGATAAAAAGATAAACCTGACACCCCTCAGTCATTCTTCACTTGTTGAAGGGTGCAAAATCCTGGATTTTTTAAATGTTTTTTTGCAAATATTTCTACCTCATTCTTTGTTGTTAAGTTCTTGACATGGATTGATGAACCCCAATTCCAAATATGTTTGTGGTTTAAAAATTTGATTGATCTAATTAGATATTGTGACATAAAGCAAGAGAATCTGTCTCCTAGCATGCACTTGGTTTAGACCACTCTGACTACTGTATAGGGGTGTATGGATGACTAATGCTTAGTCTCTGAAAATTGTATATTTACAATAAATTGTATATTTATGATACTTATCTTATCTCACACTATGGATTTCTCATTCTTCTTTCGATCCTTAATGGAATCATGCCTAAATAAAGGATTCAAGCTTCTAAAAAAACAAACATACCTAGCATCACCATGGTCACCTCCCATCAATCTGGGTCATGCACACTTTTCATGCCGATTGACCTACAAGTGCTGAACACTTGATTTCCCTAGCCAACCCATTCTCTTTCTAGAGCTAATAGGCAATTTATTGCAAAAACATTTAAAACTTATCCTATCGCTGTGTGGAATTAGATGTAGGAGAAGAATGTCTGGATCTTTGTTGGCCTCAACGTAGTCGACGATGCCTCGAACATGTAAGAATTACATGGGCTTTGTGAGGCAGGTAAATTGCCGCAGGGCTGAAGAAATTCCAAATGGGAGCTCCTTCCATTGGTAGTGGCAGCCATGGAGCCATGAACAGGAGGAAATGTTAGTGCTTCCGATGGATGGAGACGTGTAAATACTCATCCTGTAGATCTAGACTGATCATGAAGATGCTGTGATGAAGAATTGTATGTAGTAGCGCGATAGAAGTCATCTAGATGTGTTGAGGTGTCTCTAGGTATAGCTTGTTGAAAATTTTCATGTTGAAAATGAGCCTGAGTTGAAGGCTGTTTTTCTTTAATTGGGACCAGGAAGATTGGTGAGTAGAAACCCGGTGTTGTCGGAGCTGTGCCAAGACACACTATGGCCTTCCTTGCCATTAACGTACCGTCAGGACGTGTGAGAACTGGAAGCTGCTTGTCTGGATACAGGTGTTGAAGAGGCATGTATGTTGTAGAGTAGATGAAGAGAAGGTGATAACAGGTTTGTAGAAGGCATTGTACAAACAGAAGGTCCAGGATGGCCCACATCTTTGTGAATAGACCAAATAGGTCCTTGGTGACCATGTCCCTGGCCGTGAAAGGAGCTGGATATGCTACTAAGAACCTCTCGGAGGTCTGACTCAGTAGGAGTGAAGACCGGTCGTTTACGATCCTTCCGTTGCTCTTCAAGCTGGTTTCTTTGTAAGCGGAGCAGATCCACTGTCACATGGAGAGAAGTGTTACTTTGAACTGCGCGATGTCTTGGATGTGCCCAGCGAAAAGGTAAGGATTTGACAATGGCAGTTGATATAAAGCAATTTTTAAAAGGATTGTCCCGTGAGCAGTGTTTAAGGACACCAAAAAGTCTTAGGGTAGTAACATATTCTGTGGGATGAGCAAGAAGATCCAAAATGTCTGTCACCTTGTCAAGGATAAGACCAACAGCACCTCAAATGCTGGCTTTTTTGAGAAAATGCATGATGCAAGACTGAAGAAAGAGCCTCCGTCGCGGAGAGAATAGTGGAGAACACGGGTAGTGTTCAACGAATCGTAATATCAAGATGCACTAGATCTCTATCATCCACAGAAGAGTAGGAGAACGGATAAATAGGAGTTAAGGTCGCAAGGCCATGTGTACCTGCATCAGCAAACACAAAGCGAGGAGACTGTAATCGATTGCGTAGCTGGCAAAAGGATCACAAAGCTTTATCCAGATTTGTAGCATTAGCCACTAAAACTGGTCTGGGAGGAAGCGTAATAATTGACGAAATTGCAGATGGGACAACAAAAGATGATAAGGTATCTTCAGCTGATGTACTCTTGGGAAACTGGCGTTTATCCACAATCCAAATCAAAACCGAAACCTGATCCACAGTCTAAAAACTGAAGAAGATCCTCTGGCAATGGATCCACAAGAGATGTAGGTGCGATGGTCGATGTCGTAGACTGAAGAGAAGCCAGAACAGAAGATACCGTATCCGTAAGGGGACCCAACTGAGGGAGGCATGCTGATGTCACAGCTTGAAAGAGAGATTGAAATTGCTGTACTGGGATAGAGGTTAAATCATTAGGATTCCACGAGATAGGAAAGTATCTGTGTGGAAGACTGTAGTGTCACCAGTGGATCTAGTACAGTCATGGTAGGTGGATGTCGAACCGGATAAGGAGGCAAGGAACCTGAGTGACCAATAGAAGGAAGAGTGTGGCCTTTGGGGTAGGGCATCTACTGGCAGTGGATGAGTGCCAAGGGTTGTTTCTGTGCCGATGAGGAGAGAAAAATTCACGGTGAGGGAAGGGATAGTAGCTCGGCCGAGGTAAGCAGTGTCATAGGCGTACCCTTGCCATGGGAGTCCATGTACTGTGGGTAGTGTTCCAATCATGCATCAGGTTTGCATAGGCATTATGGGAAGCAGGGTACCAAGAGCGAGAACGATGAAGTAAGTGCGAGTCAGGATGACTAGAAAAAGAGGAATGAGCCAAGTGAGATGAGTATTAAAAATTATCTTCTGAACCGATACGTGAAGTGTCTCTCCATTAGAGATGATGGGTAGATGACCGATTCCCGGATCGTCCATCCTGTGAGGTACGTCAGACTTTGGAAGTTTTGTTGAACCTTGGAAGTGTGCTGTGTCCCAGAAGGGTTCCGATTGTGAGAGGTTCGCCGAACAATAGAAGTACATTGATCCAGGGAGGAGTCCCGATCCTTGGAGGTATGGCGAGTCTGAAAATGGCGGGCCCGAGATTGCCTATATTGCCCTTCCTGATCTTGAGTCCTTAGACGATATTCGATTTGAGTTCTGTGATAGAACAGTGGAAGAAAGTTTATCCGGTGAATGCCGAGACTTCACAAGCTGATCCCTATTTGGGGATCGTCGATCCTTATGACAGCACTTCTTAGAATGAGACCCATGTGAATCTTGATTGAGAGAAGAGTCTGACGATCAGCGATCCTGTGGCAACTGCTATCCAGGAGAAGAATGAAGAGGGGATCTGGAAAGTCGAGGAGTGGACGGGGAGTGACGAGTTTGTAGAAGGTTCAGTCAAAGCCGCATTCTTAGGGATACTCTCAGGCAGAAAAAGCTTGACACTATCAGCGACAGAAGATGAGGGCAACAAAGAAACAATATGGTCTCTGGTTAACTTTGTAGAAGTAAAAGGGATTGTGGCAGACTCTGAGGAAAATACAGGTTTGGTCGGATCCAAAATCACCAAGAGAACTTTTCTTACATCCGAACCTGTAGGTTGGTTTGCTGTAGCTGATGAGGGTAGATTCTTCAATATAGGTTGTGTGGTCAAGACAGAGATGTCTTTTGTAAAATAACTTTTGGATACACCATAGGCGTATACTTCATCAGATAGTAAAGGAAGTGCAGGGTTTGAGAATTCCTCAATCAATGAGGGTGTAGATAGTTTTGCTGATTTTTTAGACTTCTTCAAAGAAGTTTTCTTAGTTTTTGTTGATTTTTCGGTTGATTTAGAGAGCCTGTCCTGTTCTCTGTGCTGACATTGGTGAAGGTAAATACTGAAGGATTCATCGGGCAAGTCAACGCACAGAGCACAGCATGCAAATTTGCTACAGCGCCCACGACAGTTCGAACAAACATCGTGTCAGTCGGATGGGACGACACAAGGACTGTTCTTCCATGATGAAAACAATGTCCCAACACTGTGGCGATTAGAGAGAGAATGAGCTGCCTGGGGAAATCACGTGTTCAGCTCGTGCAGGTCAATCAGCATGAAAAATGTGCATGACCCAGATTGATGGGAGGTGTCCATGGTGATGCTAGGTGCGTTCAGGTGAATTGTTGTTTTTTTAAGCTGGAAACTTTTCTTTAGACACGTCTCCAATTAAGATCGAAAGAAGAATGAGAAATCCATAGTTTGAGAAAGGAAAAGTTCAAAAATTAAGAGTTAGCTACATTTAAATTGAAAAGGAGCTTAGTGAGAATTTAGCCGTGGAAAATCTAGACTTGCTTAATTTCAGGCTACAGCAAAACAGTAAGGGCTTCTCAGAAGGAACAAAAATATGGTTCAGTGACCATGAGACAGACCAGGATAACTTCTTGACACCTTAAGGTGTCCCTTTTACCAGTTATTAAATTAAAGCTGCTAGATCCTTTATGATTCTATAGATAACAAATGCCATATGAATAAAACTGTTTTTTCTGGTGGTGGTTATTTGGTAAATATAATTGCAGCCCATCACCACAGTTTTTACCTTTCTTGTCTTGAAGATATTTGCCAAGCACTAGGTTGACCTCATCAAATTTTCCAGCTCGGCGAAGTCGTCGCTCTGCCAGACGTTTCTGTATGATGTGTGTCTGTCGTTCCTGCTCAGTCATGTGTGACCACTGCACCTCCCCATACTGCTTCATGAGGGCCTGTTATAAACAGTGAGACAAGGGAGTATCTTAGTCAAGGAAAATGTCTTGACTGGTAATCTGTAATTTGAGTGCTTTTCTTATGTTCTTTTTAAATAATAGGTTACTGTTTGGGAGATACACATGATGTAATGTGATAATTAAGGTGTTATTTGGTAATTAATTCCCATGAATTTCAATTGAAAGCAACCAGAGGTTTCAGTTCTGAAGATTCTCTGTAGCAGAGGCCCTTAATCAGTATGTGCATATATTAAGTTCATTAAACAAAATGTAAGGTTGTCAAGGTAGAATTATGATTTCTTTTACCACATTAATGGTGAAGTTATGAATCTTTGAATGTAATAAATATTTATAATCAACATCTCTGTGTGTCTCTTACACATAAAAGAAGACATACCTCGATGACAAGTTTGTCTCTTAAAGCATCATACTTGTGGTCTAACTCCTGTAGCAGCTCTTCACTAGAGCTCTTCTGGTCACACATTGTCGGAAACAAAACAGTTGCCACATTGTCATGATAGCACTTGGTAACTGCCTCAACTGCAAGCCGAAGTTCTTCGCGTATCATACTTAGGTCCTGATAAAAGTAAAATTAACATACTTTGGAATTTTGTACTGGTCACTATAATTTCACAAAAGTACTTTTGTAATCTATCCATCCCATCTATCCATACATCCATGACAGGCACATAACATCACTACAGATGACAGACACATAACATCACTACAGATGACAGACATGAGATCACTACAGATGACACACACATAACATCACTACAGATGACAGGCACATAACATCACTACAGATGACAGACATGACATCACTACAGATGACAGACATGACATCACTACAGATGACAGACATGACATCACTACAGATGACAGACATGACATCACTTCAGATGACAGACATGACATCACTATAGATGACAGACACATAACATCACTACAGATGACAGACACATAACATCACTACAGATGACAGACACATAACATCACTACAGATGACAGACACATGACATCACTACAGATGACAGGCACATAACATCACTACAGATGACAGACATGACATCACTACAGATGACAGGCATGAGAAACTACAGATGACAGACACATAACATCACTATAGATGACAGAAATGACCTCACTACAGTAACAGACATGACATCACTACAGATGACAGACATGACATCACTACAGATGACAGACATGACATCACTACAGATGACACACACATAACATCACTACAGATGACAGACATGACATCACTACAGATGACAGACACATAACATCACTACAGATGACAGACACATAACATCACAACAGATGACAGACATGAGATCACTACAGATGACAGGCACATAGCATCATTACAGATGACAGACATGACATCACTACAGATGACAGACATGACATCACTACAGATGACAGACATGACATCACTACAGATGACAGACATGACATCACTACAGATGACAGACACATGACATCACTACAGATGACAGGCACATAACATCACTACAGATGACAGACATGACATCACTACAGATGACAGGCACATAACATCACTACAGATGACAGGCACATGACATCACTACAGATGACAGACACATGACATCACTACAGATGACAGGCACATAACATCACTACAGATGACAGACACATGACATCACTACAGATGACAGACACATGACATCACTACAGATGACAGGCACATAACATCACTACAGATGACAGACGCATGACATCACTACAGATGACAGACACATAACATCACTACAGATGACAGACATGACATCACTACAGATGACAGACACATGACATCACTACAGATGACAGGCACATAACATCACTACAATGACAGACATGACATCACTACAGATGACAGACACATAACATTACTACAGATGACAGACATGACATCATTACAGATGACAGGCACATAACATCACTACAGATGAAAGACAAGACATCACTACAGATGACAGACATAACATCACTACAGATTACAGACATGAGATCACTACAGATGACAGACACATGACATCACTACAGGTGACAGACACATGACATCACTACAGATGACAGGCACATAACATCACTACAGGTGACAGACACATGACACTACTACAATGACAGACATGACATCACTTCAGATTACAGACATGAGATCACTACAGATGACAGACATGACATCACTACAGATTACAGACATGAGATCACTACAGATGACAGACACATGACATCACTACAGGTGACAGACACATGACATCACAACAGATGACACACATGACATCACTATAGATGACAGACATGAGATCACTACAGATGACAGGCACATTACATCACTACAGATGACAGACACATAACATCACTACAGATGACAGACACATAACATCACTACAGATGACAGACACATGACATCACTACAGATTACAGACACATAACATCACTACAGATGACAGACGCATGACATCACTACAGATGACAGACATGACATCACTACAGATGACAGACACATGACATCACTACAGATGACAGACATGACATCACTACAGATGACAGGCAAATTACATCACTACAGATGACAGACACATAACATCACTACAGATGACAGACACATAACATCACAACAGATGACAGACATGAGATCACTACAGATGACAGGCACATAGCATCATTACAGATGACAGACATGACATCACTACAGATGACAGACATGACATCACTACAGATGACAGACATGACATCACTACAGATGACAGACATGACATCACTACAGATGACAGACACATGACATCACTACAGATGACAGGCACATAACATCACTACAGATGACAGACATGACATCACTACAGATGACAGGCACATAACATCACTACAGATGACAGGCACATAACATCACTACAGATGACAGACACATGACATCACTACAGATGACAGGCACATAACATCACTACAATGACAGACATGACATCACTACAGATGACAGACACATAACATTACTACAGATGACAGACATGACATCATTACAGATGACAGGCACATAACATCACTACAGATGAAAGACAAGACATCACTACAGATGACAGACATAACATCACTACAGATTACAGACATGAGATCACTACAGATGACAGACACATGACATCACTACAGGTGACAGACACATGACATCACTACAGATGACAGGCACATAACATCACTACAGGTGACAGACACATGACACTACTACAATGACAGACATGACATCACTTCAGATTACAGACATGAGATCACTACAGATGACAGACATGACATCACTACAGATTACAGACATGAGATCACTACAGATGACAGACACATGACATCACTACAGGTGACAGACACATGACATCACAACAGATGACACACATGACATCACTATAGATGACAGACATGAGATCACTACAGATGACAGGCACATTACATCACTACAGATGACAGACACATAACATCACTACAGATGACAGACACATAACATCACTACAGATGACAGACACATGACATCACTACAGATTACAGACACATAACATCACTACAGATGACAGACGCATGACATCACTACAGATGACAGACATGACATCACTACAGATGACAGACACATGACATCACTACAGATGACAGACATGACATCACTACAGATGACAGGCAAATTACATCACTACAGATGACAGACACATAACATCACTACAGATGACAGACACATGACATCACTACAGATGACAGACACATAACATCACTACAGATGACAGACACATAACTCATCACACCCACCTGTTTCTGGACACGGGCTAAGATGTGGCTCATGTCTTGCCCCTGGTGATGTTGTAGGTCTGCCAGAAGGGTTATTACATGGTCACAGTGCACAACTTCTCCGGCCTTGTCTTGTCGATTCTTCAACTCTATGATATAGCACATTGCTTCCTGTAATCACAATAGAATAATTCTTGTTTCAAGAAGAGTCATAGATAGTGGTAATATTGAAAAGGGAGAAATATGACACATTCATTGCAATCAGAATTGAGCATATGTCGGGATGAAAATTACATCAACCACATGTAAATAATTTCATTCACTTAATGCAATATTTGTTTGATAAAGAGAGACATTTCTGTGTGCTTAGTACTAGGCCCTGAATGGTTACCCAATATGAGTTGAGTATGATAACTACTCTAGTACTCAGAGACTTATCTCCCTTGTTCAGTTTAATTATCTCCCTTTCTGAGCACCTGTGCCAGACCTCTCTTTGAGAGGCATTTAGAAGTTGGAGTACTAAGTAAGGATAAGCTATAGCTATATGGATGAACAACTTCTTCATAAGAATTAGGAGTGACGTTTCGGTGTAGGTTCCAACACCGTTATCAAGACTTGTTAGAACCTACACCTGTTCATCCATATATATCTCATCCTTACTCATATCTCACAGTAACAAATATATTTTGACAAAGATGATATTGATGAGACAGTTACTTGTACATAAGCCAAGGGTGTAACTTACCCACATCGAAAGGGTAAAGTATGTGCAAGTAATGTCTGCTTAAAGAATATAAGCACTGGGAAGTGGACAGAATGGTGACATCACTGCCATAAATCCCCTATTTTGGCTGTCATCACACTTTAGAAGCTCAAGATTTTCAATATACGATCCCTTCACTGTCAACTATCCATAAACAGTTGTACAGGGAAAAGTATCCTGCTGCCCACTGCTCTTGCTCATGATCAAAGCACGAAACCAACAAACAGCACCCCAGATGCAGATAGCAGGGGAGGTGGGTGTGATTACTCCACAGCACCTCAGATGCAGATAGCAGGGGAGGTGGGTGTGATTACTCCACAGCACCCCAGATGCAGATAGCAGGGGAGGTGGGTGTGATTACTCCACAGCACCCCAGATGCAGATAGCAGGGGAGGTGGTCGTGATTACTCCACAGCACCCCAGATGCAGATAGCAGGGGAGGTGGGTGTGATTACTCCACAGCACCCCAGATGCAGATAGCAGGGGAGTTGGGTGTGATTACTCCACAGCACCCCAGATGCAGATAGCAGGGGAGGTGGGTGTGATTACTCCTCAGCACCCCAGATGCAGATAGCAGGGGAGGTGGGTGTGATTACTCCACAGCACCCCAGATGCAGATAGCAGTGGAGGTGGTCGTGATTACTCCACAGCACCCCAGATGCAGATAGCAGGGGAGGTGGAGGTGATTACTCCACAGCACCCCAGATGCAGATAGCAGGGGAGTTGGGTGTGATTACTCCACAGCACCCCAGATGCAGATAGCAGGGGAGGTGGGTGTGATTACTCCTCAGCACCCCAGATGCAGATAGCAGGGGAGGTGGGTGTGATTACTCCTCAGCACCCCAGATGCAGATAGCAGGGGAGTTGGGTGTGATTACTCCACAGCACCTCAGATGCAGATAGCAGGGGAGGTGGGTGTGATTACTCCACAGCACCCCAGATGCAGATAGAAGGGGAGGCGTGATTAATCCTGGTATAAATTTCATTAAGTATTGGCACAGCACATTTTCCAATTAAAACTGCTCAAAAGCACTTTCTTGTGGCAGATCGTCCCATAGCAATAGGCCAGCAAGTTGAAATTGCTTATCATCATGTTTTGGTACCACTTGCAGATGTTTATCTTTTGATCAGAGACAACATGCTGGTTTTTAGAGTAAGTAGTTTAATCTGCACTTTTGGATTCAGGGAGAACGAGGTGAGGTTATGAGGATTTTGTGCAGATGACCAATAGCTCTGTTTAGTCATTGGTCAGTTTCAAGAAAAGTATGTGCTGTGAAAAGGATAGGTCATAACACCAATTCCTGTGGTACTCCAAACTTCCGCTGCAGTTTTTCTGATATATTTCTACTAAGGTTGATCACTTGGTATCGGCAGTCTTGATAGGACCTGAACCATTCCAGAGCATATCCTGTAATTCCAAGGTAATATTGCAGCGTGTTCAGCAGGATGTGGTGATATGTTGTGTCAAAAGCTGCTGATAGGTCAAGGAGTATCAGAATCGCTACACTGTCAGTGTCTACTGCATGGAGCTGATTGTTCTGGACTCTGACCAATGCATTTTCTGTACTGTGGTTTGTTTTATAAGCAGATAGGATGATGTCCTCCAGTTTGTTGGTTTGCACATGATGTTTTAGCTGGATTGCAACTACTCATTCGAAAGGAATGGTAGATTGACACTGGTCTGTAGTTTTTCAGTACATTAGAGTCCAAATTTGGCTTCTTAAGAAGGGGAGTGATAAATGCTTCCTTCAGTTGATGTGGAACGTTAGTAGTAATTTATCCTGACACTTCTTAGGCATCGGGTTTGTGTGACATCACTTCCAGTTCTGATGACACCACTTCCAGTTCCAATGTCACTTTGGTGAATCTTATGTGGTTCCAGCCATTAACCTATGATCTGCCCTACTCACAGAAGACAGTTATGATCCAATGGTTAACCTACCTTTCAAAGCTGAGGCTGCTAGAAAGTCCTCAGCTCCCCCCTTTTCACAAGGAGAGGGACTACCCCCTGAGCCGCCACCCACTACAGGCCCTAGGAAATACAGTTTGTTTAAATCAGGTTGGTAACCACTCAAATTGAAATCAGAGATTTCCACTGGCAACTAGAGACAGCTTGTTCTATCGGAACTGAGCTCTATGACTCTAGGCTTGTTGATTAGGCTCTGATCTAATGAGCTGTAAATGCACCCAATATTTGAGTTGAAAGATCTGTGTGTTGGTAACTTTGTGTAATTGTGTTCTTTAGCCATCCTGCGACTTTGGCCTTAGTTGTGTCCCCTATGTTAGGGTCAGTCTTACAAGATATGAAAAGTCGTCTTCTGTGTCTTCTGTGATGCTCTATTGCTACCAGATAAAACCTGGGTGCCCACACGGGGCATAGGAGTCATTCAGGATGATCCACAGGTTTACTTAGATCAGGTACGGAATAATGTCTATGTCCCAGTGTCCTAGAATCACTATGAATTCTAGTAGAGATACAATCCTCTGCGTGAGTGAGTCCAGAAAGGTCTTGTGCATGAATCTCCAACACTCAAGCTGCTGTAGAAATAGCTAGAAGGAAGGCTGTCTTTCTGGATACCTGAAGCAGGGATGCCAAAGTAAATGGTTCTAACATATTCCAGGAATATTTCATCAGTCTGGGTGATTTCCTAAAGTCAAATCATCATGCTGAAGCACTGAGGCTGAGGCTGATCTAAATATTCCTATATGGTGCCATGACAAAACATATTATCCAACCAGAGATGGAGTAAAAAGTTTCATCATTTCCCAACCCTCTTTTTCTTTGCCTTTTATAGAACTTGTCCCATCTGTTATGGTAAAGGGCGGATGACATTGGGAAGCGTGAAGCCGGAAGCCTGCATCTTGTATGTGACAGTTTTCAAGCATGAAGACTGTGGAGGCTGCTGTACATTATGTCCAGTCTAGGCTGATCGTGAAGCTCAGGTAGTTTGAGTGGTTCTTCCATGAAAAGCGCAAACAGTCCGGAAAATCATGGCCTGCCTGGCCAAATAAGGGCTATGAGAATGATTATGCAATACGTGTCCTCCAGCTTCCTCAAGACTCTGTCTGGGAGAGACCATGGAGGAACACATAGGCAGACATCCCTTTCAAGCTCGGTCACGGAGAGACCATGGAGGAACACATAGGCAGACATCCCTTTCATGCTCAGTCTAGGAGAGACCATGGAGGAACACATAGGCAGACATCCCTTTCAAGCTTGGTCAAGGAGAGACCATGGAGGAACACATAGGCAGACATCCCTTTCAAGCTTGGTCAAGGAGAGACCATGGAGGAACACATTGGCAGACATCCCTTTCAAGCTTGGTCAAGGAGAGACCATGGAGGAACACATAGGCAGACATCCCTTTCAAGCTCAGTCAAGGAGAGACCATGGAGGAGGTTCCCCCTTGTCTGTGGTATATGCTACCACTGTTGTATTGTCTGTAGCCACCAGGATTGAAGATCAAAAGTTAAAAGTTGCTTCCATGTCTCGAGGGCATGGCAGATTGCCCTCATCTTGAGGCAAATGCTAGGATGATCCTTCTATTGAGATTTTCAGCTACCCTGAACTGGAAGGCCATCCATGTGTGCTCCCAATGCTGACCTGGAGATGTCTGTAAATAGGTAATGTTTGGGCACTGGTAAGACTAGAGGAATTCAGATCCATCATCAGGTTTGGCGGGAAGTGGGCCGGAATGTCCAATTTTGGTAAATTCGCCCATGATTGGAGAGGTCGTAACTTTAGTCATCTCCTTAATGTTCGATCTTGCAGAGATGTCAAGTTCCCAAACACAACATCCACCAATGAAGTGACTTGCGTGGGTGATCCCTTACTTCCGTGATCATGCGCAGGGTCTTTAGATATTTATCATTTCGGAGTACATAAGATTCCCTTGGCCACGGATGAACTAGGAAACCCAGATGCGACAGCAGTTGGATTAGAAACATATTCTCCAGGAGCTGATTCCTGTCCTGACCTGCTGATAGGAAGTTGCCGTGTAGTCAAACTAGAGGGTTACGCGCAAACCTGATGATCAGGGCTGGGATGTGTGTGAACAGCCAACGAGCTATCGCATGCCAAGTGGAAGGACTTGAATAAATGTGTAGAGTTAAGCATCCTGGAGATCCAAACTGATCAACCAGTCTCCCATCCTGAAAGCGGTTCACAGTTTCCTTGCAGATTTCATCTGGAACTTGGATGGGCAAACTAGAAATTCCTTGTTGAGATTTTTTAGGTTTATAATCATACGCCTGTCCATCATATTTTGCTTTGGTAATAAAATGACTGTGAATAAAAGCCCTTAGTGAAGTCTGTGTTCTTTAATTCCCATACAGCTCTCTTGTCTAATAACGTCCGTATGGCTAAGTCTGCAGCCGCTAACTTGGTCCCTTCTAGATGAAATTGTTGGTCCTTAATATGCTTCCAGTTTTTTGCGTATGACACAAGACATCCACCTACTGGTCCTCTAATTAATGTAGCCTGTAAGCCAGATCTATAGGGTTTGATTCAAGATGCACGGTGTCTAGACAGTCAGAGTCAGCAATCACCTCTTCCCATAGTGCCGGTCCGCAAAATGCCCCAAACTATCCCTTGTTTCAATGCAGAGAGGGTGTGCAGACCTATACTTTCACCTACTTGTGTGGAAGGATTCATTTCCCAATTGGATAAAATTCATCTTGACAGAATCCTGAAAGGCATGATATCTGTCTGACTCTCTACGTCTCTTGGACTGGAAAGTTGAACTGTCAGCGTTCACTGCCAAGTTGATGGTGGATTGCTGGAACCTATCCATGGTGTCTTGGCGTAATTCTCCAGGACCTTATGTAGCTCCTCCTTAAAGAAGAGTTGTGTCATGATTTGTTCAACAGTCTATCCCCTGCGAGTGAGAGGCGTATCCCTTAGGATGTCTTCCTTAGATTTATGAAAAGGTGGTATGACGTGGCCATGGACCCGTTGATGTATGCTCCAATCCTGGTCCTATTTTGATCCTGGTCAGATGAAAAGACATCTTGGTACTGGGAGACCTTACTGACTTGGAGTAATCTTCAACAGACGGAGGTCTGGAAAGGGGAAATTGTTCTTCTGGTAGATGCGCCTTTTTATCTGAGGTACAGGCAATGTATCACTTGCTTTGTATAACTTGGCCTCAGGAGGCTATGAGGTCCATAACATGGGCGGATACAGAGGGGGGGGTGCGGGGGTGCGCACCCCCCCTTTTTATTTCGAAAAAAATCTTTATTTCTGTATAAATTACCACCAAAGACAATATATAGATCTTAACTGTGCACCCCCCCCCTTTTAAAAAAAGCTGTATCCGCCCATGCATAAGCCAAAGTCAATGGAAAATGACCACCAGCATACACAAGCATCTGAGGTGCAGTTTGTTCCTCTATTTTAGGTTACAGATCCGGCATAAGATGACAAATTTCCTCACACAGTTCGACAAAGGAATAACTGGGGTCACAGTTGTCCCTAGGTGATGATTCGCTTTTAAGGACTCAGATGCACTATGACCTGTCATTCCTGTCCCCCAGGTGGTATCCAGACAGGTAATAATCTGGCTGGTCCCCGGGCAGTCCATGGTGCACTGGAGTCCATCGATCCATGACACGCCTCACATGCCAATCAGCTGGACAACAGTGTCTTGGTGACGCTGCATTTTAGTTTTTGATGAGTTTGGGAAGCCGTGGTTCAGGGCTACTGGGGCGGTCGGGTAGCCTAGTGGTTAAAGCGTTCGCTCATCACGCCGAAGACCCGGTTTCAATTCCCGAAATTGGTACAATGTGTGAAGCCAATTTCTGGTGTGCCCCGCCGTGATATTGCTTGAATATTGCTAAAAGCGGCGTAAAGCCATGCTCACTCACTCAGGGCTACTGATTAGTTTGAGTGGAGACCATGCTGGTCACTCGGCCAATCCTACATCAGTGATGTCAAAATCTTCACAGGGACCCAAGGCCAGCAGTCTCTCCACCCAAATTCTTCCTTCTGAGATGGTGGTCAGACGTCTCTCAATCAAGGCCTGCATATCTTTCTGCCTCCTCTTCATTAGCTGCTCAGATACACTGAAAGGGATTGTCAGGATGGATTCTGATTGGATACTTTTCGGAGTAACAGGTTGTGCAGTCAGTGACTTCTCCATAGAGTGGATGCATTTCTCTGCATATTCTTTAGAAACCAACTAAAATCCTCACTAGTTTTCATCACTGCCTGCTTCTTCCTTGCCTTCTTCCAGGTGCCAGCCACCTTGGCAAACAAATCCAGAGAGAGGGAGGCGCGCTGGGAGCATCAAGCTTCAACACAACACAGCGAATCTCCGCACCTATTCTTCCCACACTCTCTGCAAGCAGTAGGCAACTATGGAGAAGGAGACACCATTCTGTCCCATAACATGTCACCTCTAACCAAACCCAGAAATTAATCAACTGAATATAACATAATAAGTATCTAGTAACGTTAAACTGAAGATATAGATTAACTACAATGTCACAACTACCAAAGTGTGTTAGACAAAAACTCAGAAAAAATTCAGATGTTGACTCTATAACACACAGGAAAGAACTGAGGTTTTCCAACTTGCGCATAGGATACTATGTCCTGCAAAACTGTTATGGATCGTTTAGTGAGTGAGTGAGTTGGGTTTAATGAATCCTGGTTCTCCCCTATTGTTTCGAGCTTTGTCAGCACAATACCCATGCTAGTGGGTTTCACCAAAGTGGTAAAAATCTGAGACTTGCGTTATTTCAGGCTTTCCTTCCACATTAAGCAGACACACTGTGACACAACTGTAATACTGTTAAAAGCAGCATGAAACCAAACTTACTCACTCACTCACTCACATGACCAGTTGAGGTATACCATTATGGCACTAGATCCACTATATCGTCATCACATGTCAATGTCAACAGCCAAAACAACCAACTGTGTGACTGTACCTGAAATATTGCTGTCTGCTCTTGTGGAGGCTTTGTATGAGACTTGCGCCAGCCTTCTCTAAACCCTTGTAGAACATCCAGCCTGTCCTTCAGGTCTTCTGTGCTACTGTTGACTGGTGTTTCTCCTCCACAGGATGTATCATCTGCACACTGCAGGAACACAATCTTCTGTCATGATTTTGTCAACTCATTTATCTTTTCACTGATCTGTATGTCATATGAGTAAATATAAGATAGCTACCTGATAATCACAGAGAACAATGAAGAACGAAGCATGTTTTTTTTCACGATAAAACATTGTTTTATCATGACGTCATTTCTGTGCCTTCTTGATTTATTCTTCCTGCAGTTTATTTCTTACTTACATAGAAATTCCTCTCAATATTATAAAAATATATAAGATAGCAACTCCATAAATCGCAAAGAACAATGAAGAATGAAGCGTGGTTTATTTCACCCTAAATCATTGTTCTATCAGGACGTCATTTCTGGAGATTTGAACATGCGCTCACAACTTGATGTCATAAAATTGGACACCGTTATTTTTGAGAGGAAAGTGTCCTCTTTTTTGCATCCAAAAGCGGGAGAGATTTGACAATTGGTATTGTGAGAAAAGGTACAGATAATCGACATAAAAATTCTGAGAATATCACAATATAAATATAACACCAAACTTAACCTCCCTGTTCATAAAATGTTCATTGCCGAGTTGGGATTGTATTCACGGAGAGCTTGCACATTTTATTAACATCCTTTAAGAGGCTGTACATAATGTTGATATCTCATATAAGAAATAAACGACATGTGGTCATTGTTTATCTAACAATAAAACACTACAGGGAGAATAACCCATGAGGGGGCACAGTATTTTTATTGCACCCTCTAATGGTTTATTCTCCTTGCAGTGTTTTATTGCACCCCTCATGGATTATTCTCCCTGTAGTGTTTTTATTGCACCCCCTCATGGTTTATTCTCCCTGTAGTGTTTTATTGCACCCCCTCATGGTTTATTCTCCCTGCAGTGATTGTATTACAGCTCTCATGGTTTATTCTCCCTGTAGTGTTTTATTGCACAGCCTCATGGTTTATTCTCCCTGCAGTGTCTTATTGCACCCCCTCATGGTTTATTCTCCCTGTAGTGTTTTATTGCACCCCTCGTGGTTTATTCTCCCTGCAGTGATTTTATTACACCTCTCATGGTTTATTCTCCCTGCAGTATTTCATTGCACCCTCTCATGGTTTATTCTCCCTGCAGTATTTCATTGCACCCTCACATGGTTTATTCTCCCTGCAGTATTTCATTGCGCCCTCTCCTGGTTTATTCTCCCTGCAGTATTTCATTGCGCCCTCTCATGGTTTATTCTCCCTGCAGTGTTTCATTGTGCTCTCTCATGGTTTATTCTCCCTGTAGTGTTTTATTGCACCCTCTCATGGTTTATTCTCCCTGCAGTGATTTTATTACACCTCTCATGGTTTATTCTCCCTGCAGTATTTCATTGCGCCCTCTCATGGTTTATTCTCCCTGCAGTGTTTCATTGTGCTCTCTCATGGTTTATTCTCCCTGTAGTGTTTTATTGCACCCTCTCATGGTTTATTCTCCCTGCAGTGATTTTATTACACCTCTCATGGTTTATTCTCCCTGCAGTATTTCATTGCACCCTCTCATGGTTTATTCTCCCTGCAGTATTTCATTGCACCCTCACATGGTTTATTCTCCCTGCAGTATTTCATTGCGCCCTCTCCTGGTTTATTCTCCCTGCAGTATTTCATTGCGCCCTCTCATGGTTTATTCTCCCTGCAGTGTTTCATTGTGCTCTCTCATGGTTTATTCTCCCTGTAGTGTTTTATTGCACCCTCTCATGGTTTATTCTCCCTGCAGTGATTTTATTACACCTCTCATGGTTTATTCTCCCTGCAGTATTTCATTGCGCCCTCTCATGGTTTATTCTCCCTGCAGTATTTCATTGCGCCCTCTCATGGTTTATTCTCCCTGCAGTATTTCATTGCACCTCTCATGGTTTATTCTTCCTGCAGTATTTCATTGCGCCCTCTCATGGTTTATTCTCCCTGCAGTTTTTCATTGCACCCTCTCATGGTTTATTCTCCCTGCAGTATTTCATTGCACCCTCTCATGGTTTATTATCCCTGTAGTGTTTTATTGCACCCTCTCATGGTTTATTCTCCCTGCAGTATTTCATTGCACCCTCTCATGGTTTATTCTCCCTGCAGTATTTCATTGCGCCCTCTCATGGTTTATTCTCCCTGCAGTATTTCATTGCGCCCTCTCATGGTTTATTCTCCCTGCAGTATTTCATTGCACCCTCTCATGGTTTATTCTCCCTGCAGTATTTCATTGCGCCCTCTCATGGTTTATTCTCCCTGCAGTATTTTTAATGCACTCTCTCATGGTCTATTTTCCCTCCAGTGTATTATTATACCCCCAGAACTGGTACTTTACAAAGAGGTAAGCTAAATGCATTCACAAAAGTAAATTGTAGTTTGAGTTGCTGGTGTGTACCTGAATGAAAACAGCCCTCTCTGCTTGGTGCTTCTTGTCAACAACCTCCATCAACATCATCATCAGGTCATTGTCCATCACTGTGTCCACATCCACATCAACACTATCTACATGCTGAGCAGAACCAGCGGCCCGCCGGCGTCTTGCTGCTTCCAGACGGTCGTGAGCCAGTCTCTCCTGTCGTGCACGTTCCTCGCTCTTGTGAGACTCAACTCTGTAAGAAAGAATATACGAAGTGTAATTGATTCTACTAATCAGCTTATCATACACAACAAATACATTTGCTATGACCATCACTCTGACGCATAACACTGTCTCCCAGCTACTCACTTCTCGCCTTGCTCCTCCACAAGACCCAACATGAGAGCAGCCGAATCAAAGTTCTCCTCCTGGCGTACCCTGCGTTGCTCCAGTCGGAGACGGGCAAGGGCAGCCTGGCGCTCTCGCTCTTTTTCCATGTCATCTCCAGATTGGAGCAGCTGCTTGAGTAGGGAAGCTTTCTCCTGGAATATCCCAACAACAAGAAAGTGTCCTAAAAAACTTGATATATATGGAGAATGGTTGATTGTGACAGGTTCAAATCTCAATTATGTAATGATGAAAACATCAACCTGAATTTGAGATTGAATAGTAACTGATATATATGGAGAATGGTTGATTGTGACAGGTTCAAATCTCAATTATGTAATGATGAAAACATCAACCTGAATTTGAGATTGAATAGTAACTGGTTTAAAGTGTAATGAATATAGTTCTCTCTAGCTGTATTTTTATTCCATTGATCCTCCACTCTTTGCGATGTCGCCCTATCTTTGTGCTTACCTCTTCAATCCTTTGTTCCATCTGCTGCAAGATATTTTTCTGTTTGTCGTCTGTCTCTTCTCTCCTGATGTCGTCCTGTTCCAGCTGGTCACACTCATCAGTGCTGAGGCCTGCCCAACAAGTGCCAACAATTACACCACCAGGAAACTGGTAGTTGCAGTACAAATAGTGTCTATAAACACATAACAGGAGGTTTTGATGCCGGGAGAGTTTGTGCAGAAAGAAAACACACAGATGTTGCTTCAGTTACATGTACCCTGCAATGAGATTTGTCAATCCTGGGTCATCTCGAGCAACACTGGACTCCACCGGAGACTGAATCTGATATAGATAGTAGTGAAGTCTTGAAGTGTTCCCTATGTGATGTGCATACACCAGCGAAGCTGATCTGCCATCTTGAAGTGTTCACTATGTGACGTGGATACACCAGCAAGGCAGATCTGCCATCTTGAAGTGTTCACTATGTGACGTGGATACACCAGCAAAATTAAGGCCGATCTGCCATCTTGAAGTGTTCACTATGTGACGTGGATACACCAGCAAGGCCGATCTGCCATCTTGAAGTGTTCACTATGTGACGTGGATACACCAGCAAGGCCGATCTGCCATCTTGAAGTGTTCACTATGTGACGTGCATACACCAGCAAGGCCGATCTGCCATCTTCCAGTGTGACATGTGTGATTTAAACATGAAACTTTTGAAGGCTGCTTCGAACTGGTCACCATTAGAAATGCATACTGACACCAGAGACCAATACCAGTGATGCTGATCTCATGGGTACTGACAGAGCAACCAATATGCAAGACATCAAATATGTTTTCATGTTCAGTGCACATGTTATGATAATGAAACTGTATGAATGGATATTGGTATGCTCAATCAATGTACATGGTGGTGATTCAAGTCCAAGAGTGACTAACTCAAAGCTGCCACATGGTCACATCCAGCTCATACTCTAATATGAATATTCTACCAACCTGTGAATATCTCACTGACTTTGGCCCTAGCATGTGTCATGTCTACAAGTTTGAAAGCCACCTCTCACACAGGTAAAACAAACACACATGACTTGGATTTGGAATGTTATTAGGCCCACGGAGGGGTGTAAGTCCAGGGCACCATTCCACAAAGCGATCTTAGCGTTACGACTATCGTAATCCAGTGTTAAAGTATGGGACTTACGATATCCTTAGCGCTAAGATGGCTTTGTGGAATGGGGCTGAACCACATCCATTGTCATTTACACCAGAATATGTATATGCCATTACACAGAACGGAATGCCCAATACAACAAAGGAGAGCATTAATTGGCAGCAAGTGGCGAGTTAGCATAGCAGTAGCTGAAAACTTTCAAATGTTTGTTATGTGTGACTTGTTCACACAAATATACAGGAAAAATAGTATGCCCTGTCCATATATATCAAAGAAGGAGTTACTTGCCTTGAAATGTAATAAAAACAGATTGTTCAATCAGTCTCATATTATTAAACAGCCCAACAGACACACAGAACACGTGGACAGTGATGCTGTAGTCCTCCTCCAACTCCACTCACCCTCCGCAAGACGCTGCTTCCTTTTCTCCAGCCTCTCTCTCATCCTCCGCTCCTGTTCATCACGACGCTCACCCATCAGACTCCGCAAAGTCTCCTTATGTTTCTGCAAGTCCCCTACAAAATAACATTTGTTACATAAGAAAATATGCTATACATTAACATGCTCCAAACTTTGAATACAAACAGTTCACTGACTTATCAATATATTCTACAATGTCAAATAACATGCAAAAGAAAGTGAGGATGCCCAATTAATTGTCATCAGCAAGACTCAAAGCAGAATTTAGAAGGAAGATAAAGGGGATCAATCCTGGTAACGTTTGAAGTTCCCCTCTACAAGCTAAGCACATTGTAGGGTTCGGTCAATGGAGGCAAGTTAAACTGAGAAAAGTCACAGATACTTGAAGGAAGTATAGTGATATTAATGTAAAAATCACAATGTGTGATTGAATTATATTTACATATAAAATCCTAAACTGACCAAGTAGAGCCGCAGCTTCATCCACTAGTCCCTGCTTCCTCAACTGTCTCTGTTTGAGTTTCAGTTCCATCAGTCTCCTTTGTCTCTCCTTCTCACTCAGTCTAAGCCAGTTAGCTTCTCCTAGCTGTGAAGAGTTTAAATAACCTGTCTCTCATATAGGCAAAAACTGTTAAATATATTTCGGTTGGTCTAAGCAAGATCAAGAAATGACAAACCAAAAGTGAAGTTTACCTAAAAAAAGTATGGAGTGAGTGAGTGAGTTGGTGTGTCAGCTTGACGCAGGAGGAAAGTCTGTAGTGATGCAGGTCTTAGACGTTTAACACTTTGGTGAAACTCACGAGCAGGGGTTCGGTACTGACAAACCTAGAACCATAATCAGGGCAATCTAAGATTTGAACCCATGATCATAGATTTCTGGCATGCTCAAGGGAAGCAACTCAGCAAATAGCAGCACCTCAGACGACTGGGCCGTGCCCCTTTTGTGTTTTGAGCATTTGAAACTGACCTTTCATAATTCAAAAAAATTGTACATCATAAATTTAAAACATCTATGAAACACAGAAGGTGTGTCTCCAAGCCACCATGACAAGATAAATGCTAAGGATGATATGATGTGGTCAGTCTAATTAAGGTTTGAAGGTGAGATTTCATTCTCACAATCTCATACCATCACTGACCCCACTGATGAGTTCCATCTGTAGACACAATCTCAAAACCATCACTCACCTCACTGATTAGATCCATCTGTAGACACAATCTCATACCGACACTCACCACACTGATGAGTTCCATCTGTAGACACAATCTCATACCATCACTCACCTCACTGATTAGATCCATCTGTAGACACAATCTAATACCATCACTCACCCCACTGATTAGATCCATCTGTAGACACAATCTCATTCCATCACTCACCTCACTGATGAGTTTCATCTGTAGACACAATCTCATACCATCACTCACCCCACTGATTAGATCCATCTGTAGACATAATCTCATACCATCACTCACCTCACTGATTAGATCCATCTGTAGACACAATCTCATTCCATCACTCACCTCACTGATGAGTTTCATCTGTAGACACAATCTCATACCGACACTCACCCCACTGATGAGTTCCATCTGTAGACACAATCTCATACCATCACTCACCTCACTGATTAGATCCATCTGTAGACACAATCTCATACCGACACTCACCACACTGATAAGTTCCATCTGTAGACACAATCTCATACCATCACTCACCTCACTGATGACATCCATCTGTAGACACAATCTCAAAACCATCACTCACCTCACTGATTAGATCCATCTGTAGACACAATCTCATACCATCACTCACCTCACTGATTAGATCCATCTGTAGACACAATCTCATACCATCACTCACCTCACTGATTAGATCCATCTGTAGACACAATCTCATACCGACACTCACCACACTGATAAGTTCCATCTGTAGACACAATCTCATACCATCACTCACCTCACTGATGACATCCATCTGTAGACACAATCTCAAAACCATCACTCACCTCACTGATTAGATCCATCTGTAGACACAATCTCAAAACCATCACTCACCCCACTGATTAGATCCATCTGTAGACACAATCGCATACCATCACTCACCTCACTGATTAGATCCATCTGTAGACACAATCTCATACCATCACTCACCCCACTGATTAGATCCATCTGTAGACACAATCTCATACCATCACTCACCTCACTGATTGATCCATCTGTAGACCCAATCTCATACCATCACTGATAAGATCCATCTGTAGACCCAATCTCATACCATCACTCACCACACTGAGATCCATCTGTAAACCCAATCTCATACCATCACTCACCACACTTATGAGTTCCATCTGTAGACACAATCTCATACCGACACTCACCCCACTGATGAGTTCCATCTGTAGACACAATCTCATACCATCACTCACCTCACTGATTAGATCCATCTGTAGACACAATCGCATACCATCACTCACCTCACTGATGACATCCATCTGTAGACACAATCTCAAAACCATCACTCACCTCACTGATTAGATCCATCTGTAGACACAATCTAATACCATCACTCACCCCACTGATTAGATCCATCTGTAGACACAATCGCATACCATCACTCACCACACTGATGAGTTCCATCTGTAGACACAATCGCATACCATCACTCACCTCACTGATGAGTTCCATCTGTAGACACAATCGCATACCATCACTCACCTCACTGATGAGTTCCATCTGTAGACACAATCTCATACCGACACTCACCACACTGATGAGTTCCATCTGTAGACACAATCTCATACCATCACTCACCACACTGATGAGATCCATCTGTAGACACAATCGCATACCATCACTCACCTCACTGATGAGTTCCATCTGTAGACACAATGGCATACCATCACTCACCTCACTGATTAGATCCATCTGTAGACACAATCTCATACCGACACTCACCTCACTGATGAGTTCCATCTGTAGACACAATGGCATACCATCACTCACCTCACTGATGAGATCCATCTGTAGACACAATCTCATACCATCACTCACCTCACTGATGAGTTCCATCTGTAGACACAATGGCATACCATCACTCACCTCACTGATGAGTTCCATCTGTAGACACAATCTCATACCGACACTCACCACACTGATGAGTTCCATCTGTAGACACAATCTCATACCATCACTCACCACACTGATTAGATCCATCTGTAGACACAATCTCATACCATCACTCACCCCACTGATTAGATCCATCTGTAGACACAATCTCATACCATCACTGATAAGATCCATCTGTAGACACAATCTCATACCATCACTCACCTCACTGATTAGTGCTTCCATCAGCAGTTTATCATTTAATGCATCATATTTTTCATCCACAGCTTGGATAATATCCTGGTCAGTGAGTAGATGCTCTGAGTCTGAAGCAAATACTACAGCTGCTATGTTGGCACATCGCCCTCCATTGCCCAGGTCCTTCAGCTCCTGGAGCATCTGCAGTTGTTCATCTGGACTCTAATTAACATACAGACATGAACAGTCAGTGCAACCAAGCTGAACCATTCTCACTAAAAATGGACAAAAATACTAACTTTGAGGTTTAGCAAAAGAAACAAAATTTATAAAACTCTGGAAATATTAAGGTCATTAAGAGGAAGAACTTGCTATGATGCACCCTACTGACATACACTGGAAGCAACATGATTGTGAAGGTTTACAAGCAGTTGTGGCTCTAAAGTGTACAACATGTGGTGACTGTATGTACCAAACATCCCATTGACACAAGATACGACTCTGCATCCTTGTTCTGCTGCAGGAGAAGGTCGGCCATGAGAGAGATGGAGGCACTGCTATCAGTCTGGCTGTCTTTAGGTAGCTGTGCTCGGCGACATTCCTGTTTGATCACTGTGGCTTGTTGCAGGATTCTCCGATGTCCTGGCAGGTCATCTACACCAACAGCATGGTCAGTACATGTGATCATTATACATACTGTAAATCGGGAAATTAATGCATCTCCAAATTAATATGACTGCTTACCCCTAGCCAAAAATGCGACTCAATATCAATGCGACTCCCCCACCCCATCCCCAGTGGAATGATACATATCCTCACCTTAATCCAATCAAACACAAATAGCACTGCTTATTAGCACTGAGTAAAGCAATTCCGTAATAACAATAAACAGTGTTTTCCTAAAAACAACACACAGTTTATATGTTTACACTGTTGACTGGCATTAAGGAAGTTCAAAGGCAATAAAATAATTGAACCAACAACAGTTCACTGATTGGTATGAGGAGAAGGTGTCAACAAACTTGACATGAGTGGGTAGAACTCTTGACGCAAGCAGTGATAACTTACCGTGTGCCCATTGTGTAATTCCAATTATTTGAATGACATTGGTATATACTTGTTACAACTGCTGCTCAATGAACCATGTTTGTGTTTATATTCAAGTTGGTATTTCCCCCATCCAAAGTGTGCAGTGAGGCCGTCTTATTGTTGATAGTCATTTGGAGACACAAATGTAGAGTCCATGTTGAGAGAACTATATAATGTAGAGTCCATGTTGGGAGACCTATGTACTGTAGAGTCCATGTTTGAAGACCTATGTACTGTAGAGTCCATGTTTGGAGACCTATGTACTGGAGAGTCCATGTTTGGAGACCTATGTACTGTAGAGTCCATGTTGGGAGAACTATATACTGTAGAGTCCATGTTGTGAGACCTATGTACTGTAGAGTCCATGTTTGGAGACCTATGTACTGTGGAGTCCATGTTGGGAGAAATATATACTGTAGAGTCCATGTTGGGAGAAATATATACTGTAGAGTCCATGTTTGGAGACCTATGTACTGTAGAGTCCATGTTGGGAGAACTATGTACTGTAGAGTCCATGTTGGGAGAACTATGTACTGTAGAGTCCATGTTTGGAGACCTATGTTCTGTAGAGTCCATGTTTGGAGACCTATGTACTGTGGAGTCCATGTTTGAAGACCTATGTACTGTAGAGTCCATGTTTGGAGACCTATGTACTGGAGAGTCCATGTTTGGAGACCTATGTACTGTAGAGTCCATGTTGGGAGAACTATATACTGTAGAGTCCATGTTGTGAGACCTATGTACTGTAGAGTCCATGTTTGGAGACCTATGTACTGTAGAGTCCATGTTGGGAGACCTATGTACTATAGTGCCATGTTGGGAGAACTATGTACTGTAGAGTCCATGTTGGGAGACCTATGTACTGTAGAGTCCATGTTGGGAGAACTATATACTGTAGAGTCCATGTTTGGAGAACTATTTACTGTAGAGTCCACGTTTGGAGACCTATGTACTGTAGAGTCCATGTTGGGAGACCTATGTACTGTAGAGTCCATGTTGGGAGAACTATGTACTGTAGAGTCCATGTTTGGAGACCTATGTACTGTAGAGTCCATGTTGGGAGACCTATGTACTATAGTGCCATGTTGGGAGAACTATGTACTGTAGAGTCCATGTTGGGAGACCTATGTACTGTAGAGTCCATGTTGGGAGAACTATATACTGTAGAGTCCATGTTTGGAGACCTATTTACTGTAGAGTCCACGTTTGGAGACCTATGTACTGTAGAGTCATTGTTGGGAGACTCATGTACTGTAGAATCCATGTTGGGAGACCCATGTACTGTAAAGTCCATGTTGGGAGAACTATGTACTATAGTGCCATGTTGGGAGACCCATGCACTGTAGAGTCCATGTCGGGGGACCTCTGTTCTGTCGGGTCCATGTTGGGGGAACTATGTTCTGTCGGGTCCATCATGGGAGAACTATGTACTGCAGAGTCCATGTTTGGGGAACTATGTACTGTAGAGTTCATGTTGGGAGACCTACTTACTGTGGAGTCCATGTTTGAAGACCTATGTACTGTAGAGTCCATGTTTGGAGACCTATGTACTGTAGAGTCCATGTTGGGAGAACTATGAACTGTAGAGTCCATGTTTGGAGACCTATGTACTGTAGAGTCCATGTTGGGGGAACTATGTACTTTAGAGTCCATGTTGGGAGAACTATATACTGTAGAGTCCATGTTTGGAGACCTATGTACTGTAGAGTCCATGTTGGGAGAACTATGAACTGTAGAGTCCATGTTTGGAGACCTATGTACTGTAGAATCATTGTTGGGAGACTCATGTACTGTAGAGTCCATGTTTTGAGCCCTATATACTGTAGAGTCCATGTTGGGAGAACTATGTATTGTAGAGTCCATGTTGGGAGACCCATGTACTGAAGAGTCCATGTTGGAAAAACTAAATACTGTAATTCCATGTTGGGAGAACTATGTATTGTAGAGTCCATGTTGGGAGACCCATGTACTGTAGTGCGATGTTGGGAGAACTATATACTATAGATTCCATGTTGGGAGACCATGTTGGGAGACCCATGTACTGTAGAGTCCATGGGGGAGACCCAAGTACTGTAGAGTCCATGTTGGGAGAACTATGTACTATAGATTCCATGTTGGGAGACCATGTTGGGAGACCCATGTACTGTAGAGTCCATGGGGGAGACCCAAGTACTGTAGAGTCCATGTTGGGAGAACTATGTACTATAGATTCCATGTTGGGAGACCATGTTTGGAGACCCACGTACAGTAGAGTCAATGTTGGGGGAACTATGTTCTGTCGGGTCCCTCATGGGAGAACTATGTACTGCAGAGTCCATGTTGGGAGACCCATGTACTGTAGAGTCATTGTTGGGAGACTCATTTACTGTAGAGTCCATGTTGGGAGACCTATGTACTGTAAAGTTCATGTTGGGAGAACTATGTGCTATAGTGCCATGTTGGGAGACCTATGTACTGTTGGGGGAACTATGTTCTGTCGGGTCCATCATGGGAGAACTATGTACTGTAGTGTCCATGTTGGGAGACCTATGTACTGTAGAGTCCATGTTGGGAGACCTATGTACTGTAGAGTCCGTGTTGGGAGACCATGTTGGGAGACCCATGTACTGTAGTGCGATGTTGGGAGAACTATATACTATAGATTCCATGTTGGGAGACCATGTTGGGAGACCCATGTACTGTAGAGTCCATGGAGGAGACCCAAGTACTGTAGAGTCCATGTTGGGAGAACTATGTACTATAGATTCCATGTTGGGAGACCATGTTGGGATACCCATGTACTGTGGAGTCCATGGGGGAGACCCAAGTACTGTAGAGTCCATTTTGGGAGAACTATGTACCGTATTTTCTTGAGTATAGTGCGCACCCATGTATAATGCGCACCCCCCTCTAGCGGGTTCAATATTTTGGAAAAAAAGAAATTTGAATATTATGCGCAGAAATCTTTTACACCGTACCCTTTCAGCGAAGTCCGGCAAACGAACGGGTGCTGAAAACTTCGTCAGTACAAATTCGAAATTTGAGATAAAAAATCACCAGACATGTTTATTTACCGTTTAAATAGTATTTATTGTTCTGCTAGGCATTGTTTTATATTTGGGGATTAAGATTACCTTGCGTATTTTCTCGTAAACTAAGCTGGAAACAGCAATCAGCTGTACACACGCTTTCTTGGAATCGACCGGTGATTCGGTCAAGACATACCCAATGATATAACTTTATAAGATTTTTAATGCAAGGATCGGCAACAATTGTATCTGAAACTATTTTATTTATCAGGAATAATATATTCCATTATTTTCTTAATTATATGCAACCTTTAATAAACATATTTAAAATAATAATAACCCTAAGCGAAGCAGCTGATCGCTATTCCCGGGTATTATTTTTTACATGGAACATGTCTGACCAGTCACCGTCAAGGCTCACGCGCACATGATCACGTGATCGCGAGAATTTCATGTTGACATAGAATCGTCAAACAAAAACAAATATGACTTTTAACGAGTCAAAGTATGTCATTTATGATATATGTGTCCATTCTCTGTCAACTAAAGTTTGTCAAGGCGTCAATAGCGGTATTCTGACCGTGGTTGCTGTTAATAACGGTGAGTTGTGCGATCTTCCGATCGCTTCACACACGATTTCGCCGAAATTAATAAAAACAATATTAAAAGGAATTTTGAATAAACTTAATGAAATAAGTTACAAACATAAGTCCAGATATACAAAGAACACTTTTTATAGCCAGACAGTGTAATTACATAATTATTTTGCGTACTTCAGTATGGATTTGTTGACATGGTATTTCCGGTGTTTCGTGCTCACGGTAATGTTTTTCCATGGGGGAAAAAAACATCCAAACTCATAATTCGTGTATAATGCGCACCCCCTTCTACACAGCTGTGCTTTTTCGTAGAGTCAATGTTGGGGGAACTATGTTCTGTCGGGTCCCTCATGGGAGAACTATGTACTGTAGAGTCGATGTTGGGAGAACTATGTACTGTAGAGTCCATGTTGGGAGAACTATGTACTGTAGAGTCCATGTTGGGAGACCTATGTACTGTAGAGTCCATGTTGGGAGAGTGTGAGTGAGTGAGTTAAGATTTAACGTCACATCGGCAGTATTTCAGCCATATCGTGACAATCATGTTGGGAGAACTATATACTGTAGAGTCCATGTTGGGAGAACTATGTACTGTAGAGTCCATGTTGGGAGAACTATGTACTGTTGAGTCCATGTTGGAAGAACTATGTACTGTTGAGTCCATGTTGGGAGAACTATGTACTGTAGAGTCCATGTTGGGAGAACTAGGTACTGTAGAGTCCATGTTGGGAGACCCATGTACTGTAAAGTCTATGTTGGGAGAACTATGTACTATAGTGCCATGTTGGGAGACCTATGTACTGTTGGGGGAACTATGTTCTGTCGGGTCCATCATGGGAGAACTATGTACTGTAGAGTTGATGTTCGGAGAACTATGTACTGTAGAGTCCATGTTGGGAGACCTATGTACTGTAGAGTCCATGTTGGGAGACCCATGTACTGTAGAGTCCATGTTGGG